AAACTTTTTTTTTTGGGCCCCCCCCCCCCTCTCTCTCTCTCTCTCTCTTCCGAGTACATATACACGGGTATGAACTCGTACGAAAATGATCCAGTGAAGAATGTAGCTATTTGATGGCTTTCTTCATTCTTTTTCCTCGTTAGTAATGCATCTATGGAAGACGGACAGACGAAAAGACGAATCAACATGGTAACAACAGAATATGGGTTGTGTGTGTATGATTGGATGTGTTATGTTTTTATTAACCTATCGGCAAGCAACGTGTGGAGATAGAGATATAGATTTAGAATTTAATCAATTTAAGTTATCATTTCGAACTAAAGATTCTATTTCAATTCAAATTTAATGACAAACTTAAAACAAATTCCAAAACTTTCATATAGATATTATTCACTATTTTAAACGCCATCTATAATACTAGATGGAGTTTTTCTTTCTATTATTCATAATATAATAGTTTCGATAAGACTTCAAAATATTAATAATTCTTTTAATAGCATGCTTCTTATGGATACATGTAACTATAAAAAGAACTGTTAGTTAATTAATTTTCAAGAAATATTTGTCCCACAAAAATGCTGGCATGTTTCATTGAAACACACAATCTAATATTTCAATTAAAGGAGTATGACATTTCATAGATGCATTGTGATATATTCTTTCTATGAAAACATATCATCCATAAAACAGCTGTTACTAATAGTTTTTCACGCTCCATTAAATTGCTCACACCGTTATGTGTAGGGTAAATTTAAAATAAAATGCGTAGTTGCACAGCACGTGTAATCTACAAGAGAATCATTATCATGACCATTATGGATATATCTGACCCAATCGAAATGAATACTCTCATATGAAGAATCCTGTCACGAAATGAATATAGTGGATTAGATATGTACTGTGTTTTAGAGATTAGTATTAATCAGCCGAATTCAAATTATTGACATACTCCTAGTAATGGAAAGCCTTTGTTATTATGTTAATTGTATATTTAAGTAGAAGGTATGGGTCAATATTGCTGATGAAGCAAAGACATCTGAATCAAAACAAACAAAATATCGAACTCAAACATAGAACACCATGCATAAATTCTTTTTTTTTCCTATGTAAAACAATTATTTCTAATCGATGTATCACAACAAACAAAATTGAAGGCATTCGAAAAAAACAGAGATAGATTCGATTAATTTAATCACGCTTGAATATATCATTTTTGATCTTTATTATTTTCTTTAATCTAATGTTCATTGTATAGTTATTTATTCGATAATCCATAGTTTTACCCAATAAAAAATGATGGAAGCTATTCATTTCATGATAGCGGTATAAAGATGAACAGGAACCGGAATATAAATAACACATAAAGGTCGTGTTCCAGTCTAGCGAAGCCTCATTAGTATTCAAAATACACAGAGATCAAAGTGTTTTTTTAGAAAGGACCGGAAGCTTATTGAGGCGAGAAACCGTCGTATACCTTTATTCAAGTAATGAGTAGATTCATCTCAGTGCACTTCTTGTTTTAACTAAACTCCATCACAAGAGTCGTTATAATGTCGATGAAAGCTTAAGAAAATTATTGTCATAGGTAATAAAAGTTATCTAAGATTTATTCATCTTAATTCGCACGACATGCAACACGTTGACTAGATTTCATAGTAGAATAGCACTGATGAGCTCTTCAAAATCGTCTCGTTCTTAAACGTGCCAATTACTCTGTTGAATTATTTTGGCGGAGGTTTAGAGAGAAATTAAAATTAAAAATTTATTTTATACTTTTGAGTACACAAAACAACGTCTAAATAAATCATAATGATCGATATTCATAACAATAATACAACAACGAAAGTCTTTATGTAGAACCGAATGCATCATCATGATTTATGACTATTTGTTGATAATCACGATACTTCTTTGAGATCGACTCCACATTGTTCGAGTTCAATCAAACAGTCGTTATGTTGACGGGTCCATTGAATAAATGATTTATTCATCTCAGATTCCACTGAATCCAACTCACCACCATATTCATTTGGTAACAATGACGGGTCAATATATTTATGTAAAGATTTCTTCATTGAATCATTTGATGTTCTTGAATGAAAAAACATTCGATCATTAATATTTCGGCAGTGAAAGAAACGAAATAAATGTAAGATAGGACCGAAAATACTTGGATAGTTATAGAAATGAATTTGACGCAAATATACTGGATACATTTTCTCCCAACAATCAACATATCGACGAACACGACCAGGTGTAAATTGTCTAATGTGTTGTAAGCGAATATTTGTGAAATCTAATATAATTATAAAACCATACAATTGAGCAGCCGGTTGAAGGTTTAAAATATCTGCGACAGCAAATGCGTAACGAGTAACATCATCGATGGTATAGACTAATGGATCATATTGTCCCAAACGCATTAGAAAGATGAGATGTTTATCTTTAGTTGCTTTTGGTAACTGAAGACAATAGGCTAATTCGGATATTTGGCACATCAATTGGTTTTTGATTAGATCTCGGTTTCTGAACCTAGAAGAAAAGTTAAATTGTGAGGGTGAAAACGAAACAACAAACCATTGAGGATTTTCTGTTCGATATCGCCAAAATGAAATTAATCTTTCTTTGGCTTTTTCTAAACGAAAATCTGTAACGCGTAGAAATCTTAATAAGAATTCATCTGTATCAAATGAATACAGAATAGATTGTCGTTGATGTATCCATCGTCGAATATAGGTAATATGATCTCGTATTGTTAGCAATTCTTCATGATCTGCATCTGCTTGTGCCGTATTGTAGGTGTTATCGGCTGTCGTTTTTCTAGACGGAAACACAAACCTACACATATAACTGAGCGATGGAATGAATGAAAAGGAAAAATAATTAATTGAAGAAATGTCTTTAATTTCTTTTTCTTTCTTATTTTCAATGAACAACTATTGACAACGGAATCGTCAGATAATATAATGCTTTTTTTCAAACATCTAATCATAACAATGAAAATAAAAATAATATTTTAACAGTAGTATATGTAATCAACCATGAGAAGAAAACGAGTAATTATTTGGTGGAATAGAATGAAAGTTGAAAACGAACAGTAACAGTAACAGAAAGGTTTTGTGAAAAAATAAATAAATATTGTATCACACGATACATTTGCCTTTGAAAATTATTTAAGTTAATATCTAAATGTATATTATGACAAAACAAAAAAATATAGTTGTTATATATTAGAACTGAAAGATTTCCAAATAAGGCTCTAGGAAACGGATTTCATTATGACTAATCTCTGACTAGGCGTAGAAGCAATCAGAAATTAAGTATAATTGATGAAAATTATTTTGTTTTCCTTGTAATAATCATCATCATCATCAGAAGAAGAAGGTTATGTATAAAGTCAAAAAGCAATTCTATGAAAGGAAAAAGATAATATTAAATAAATGAATGCAACATATTATATTCATTATATGGATTAAAATAGTAATAATAGAAACACATCGATTCGGAATGACATATATGTTAAATGATAGTGACTTCTTGTAAAGTATGAGATAAATAATCCTATAAAGGATACAAAGAGTAAGGTCTGCAGGAAACAGTTTATTGCTTCTTTATATTGTTTCAGAAAAATAATTTAATATTTGCTATTGAGAAGTTACTTAATAGATTGAAATAAAAATTTAATATATTTACTGTATGAATATATCAATGAATACGTTGCTTTTATTATGAAATTTTTCTTTAAAAATGAATACCCATGTAGCCGATAATGGATGAATAATGAAAAAATGGCCCATTATTTTCCATTATTTCAAAAAAAATTAATGCATTATTCCAAATAATGGGCAATTATAAGATAATGCATTATCGTTCAATGCATTTCAAAGTATTATTTAGAGTAATATTTTTAAATTAGAAAACTCACTATTTTCGTACCCGAAATATTGAAAAAGTGATTTGACAGGTAGATGTTTAATTTGCCACAGCTTTCTGTGTATCAAGCGCTTTTCAATAAGAGTCGCGCAAGTTAAAGATCTAATAAAAAATGTAACCTTAGTTACATCGCTAAGAGTATTTTTCGAATCCTTTTCCCCTGATAATGGAAACCTACACTATTGAAAACTTGACTCAAAATCTGATGATTTATATCAGATTATCGTTTCAGTTTTCAAAATATTTTTCCAGGCAAGCCGAAGAGTTTCCGAGTTTACTCAATCGCTAAAATGTGTACTAACAACCCGAAATCCGACCTAGAGTTTCTATTTGATGCAACGAAAGACTACTAGAGTTTTGAATGCTTTTAGAATATTCTATAGAATGAAAGAGATCACAGTCCTAAAACCTCTCAAAAGAAATTTTCACTCTTCGTCATTGCTCAATTTCGGATGCATCTAGTGAATTAAAACTGCTCACAGTATCAATTATAACAGGTTAGATCATGAATCATTTTGTTTTCCAAATCTGAAACCATTTCAATATTATTGAAGCAGCCTTATGTCATATATACGCTCTTCAACTGTTTTATTAATAATTTTAATTCAATAATTTTAATTTTTATGAATTTTGCCTGATAAATTGCTACTTAATGTCAAGAAAAGTACGAGTCAGTCAAGCACTGCGCAACCTAGCGAACGTAGGAAAAACACGCAATATGAATAGAATTCAGCTATGTTTGAAACAGTATCCGTTATCTTCTTATGCTTCTAACGAGGGAAGGTCCTTGAGTGTGTCTCTGGGATTCTAATCAAAAGTAAATGGATGTGTCAGGTCAAGTATTGGTATGTCAAATATATACAAATTAGCTGTTCAGAGCAAACGAATCAAAACATTCAAGTGAAAAAATTTTTTAATACCCTGAGGGGTGCCACAGACGAATTTTTTTAATGGCAAAGTACTTGTGGTACCCCTCAGGGTATTAAAAATTTTTTTCACTTAATTTTTTTGATTCGTTTGCTCTGGACAGCTAACTTGTATATATTTGAGATAACCAATACTTGACCTGACACATCCATTTACTTTTGGTTAAAATCCCAGAGACAAACTCAGGGATCTTCCCTCGTAAGACTATAATTATATTCTATTATTTCAAACGTATTTAATAGAATAGCCACGTGAAACGTTTTTGCTTAGAGAACAATGGTGATGGAAAGTCCTTCAGAATAACCTCATCCACATTCTATCCTCGCCGCATAATTGTTGATAGTTATCACGAAAATAAGTTTTAAGTACTTTTAAAAATGGCCAATATTGCTGAATTTCTTTGCGAGAAAAAATCTTTATCCTATCGCATTTGTTTTGAAGAACAGCAACGATCTGATTATTGACTAGGGGTGGCACTTCAATTTTGATGTTAAAGTTACAGTTAAAACCAATAGAGAATTAATCATGAAGAGCTAAAGAAATTATTTTTCACTTTAACTGAAATTTGTTAAAGTTAAATTGTTAAAAATGTCTTGCTTTAACTTCAACTTTTAAAATAAAATGAAGGTGCCACTCCTACTATCGACTGTTGAGGATTAACACAAGAATCAAAACTAATATGCTAGTATAAACATATAGTTGTATGAATGAAACACATGGATTCAAGTATGACAGTTTTACAGTTATTTACTTCTATAATAGTTTATTTCTCATTATAAATGAGGCTGTTGAATGTGCATCTTCGATTTTTCATTGTCAATAAAAAGTGCTAAAGGAAATTTTGAAGCAAGTATTAATTAGCGTATCTTAATAGACTACATATCTCGACGTCGAACGCTAATTAGCTTCTATACATTTCGATATTCCACTTTGCAATCCAATTAATTGCGAAAACAAATCTTGTCTTTCATGATCAACCAACGGAAGGAAGATGCACTGAAGAGAAAGTTGACACAATGAAACTTTCTCTAAATATTCTCACAATAATAAAACAGCATGCATTGTTTTTCAAGAGTCGCAGTGCGATACCTAGTAATGTTTCTACATTAGTTAGTCTTGATTGGGATGATTTGCTTTTTTGTTCTGCATTCGTTTAGTTGCGCAGTACCTGACTCGTATTTTTCTTAATCTTAAGAAACAATTTAGCGGGTAAAATTCAAAGAAGCTTAAAATATCGAATTTATCTTAATAATGAAAAGTATCCAAGGCTGAGAGTAACTTGAAATTTCTTAATAAATTGATTCTATCTTCTGAGTGCACATAGCCACTTTCAAAAAATTAAGGATAAAAATGCTTTATTCGGCAGTGTTTTGTTTATAGAAAAAAGATTTAAAACAACACCTTAATATTTCTAGTTTGGGATTTTTATTAGTATTAAATGATTCGGTAAAATTCACGAAATATGACGCGCTACGAAGGGGATTATCAGCAGTGTCACATATCCAAAATTTTGGAGATGTCACCACATCTTCCGCGGGTGTGAGTGTGGGGGATGCGCATCTCTAAAGGAGATCTTACATACCCAGTGGTGAATGACCGCATCTCCAAAATCTTGGGTATGTGACACCACTCGGGATTATCATCGTATCTTGATTCATATTATTTATTAAAAAGACATATATCTTCAATGGAGTCATTAAGCATGCAAGCATATAGGCGCACAATTAAATATCAATTTATTTTCTATCACTATCCGATTACTTGGTTAGAAAAGAATTTGGTAAAACTAGTTGGCAAATATTTCTTCTAATGTACGCTAAATTCAAAAATAGAAATTAATTATTTCTTCAAACTGATTTCTGAATTCATTTCCTTCACATTAAAGACTATTTTAGTAAATAAAATGTTACTATAAACAATGAATTTTATTTTCAACGTCTAGTGAAGTATTACATTATGATAGTGTTGGTGTGTTTGTATTAGCTTGTTGTTCTATTGTTCTTGTGAAAAAAATTCCCATTACAAATTAACAGAGGTGAAGGATGTAATCTTGGCATTTTGATAATAGTATCAGTTAGCGAGTTTCATTTTCAACAAACAAAATAGAAGAATTCGGCAGGTTCTTTTTTGCTTAATAGAATAAACTAAAAATTACTTTCAAATATTTTATCTTTGAATTCATTTTTTGTGAAAATGATAAGTTCTATAAGTTTCATTGTGTGAAGTGTCTGTCAAATTTACTTTCTTGTAATTTCTGAAAATTGCAGGTTGATAGTTGTTGTCTTTTTTGAGTTATTGAATTTAAATTGACTTATCTTCAATTGTAGCACGAAAATAAACATTCGAAAAAAATTACGTATTTGCACTTTTTATTTAAACAACCAGAGCCTGAATCATTCTTGACCATTATTTTTGATAGGAAAATCAAATTTTCTATTTCTGATCAAGCGTGTAACTGTGGCATCGCAAAACAACTCTTGGGAAGGCAATTGACCACAACCGGTTGTTTTTTCCATTCACCCATAAAACATTTTTCTATTTGACGTATTTCATTAAATACATCCTGATAAACAATATTTATGATTGATGATGGTATACCCCATCGAGCACCAGCTAGCATTCCGACCAGTATTGGACAATAGATGTCATCAAGTTTCTTTGCACGTCTCAATGCACTTTCAAATGAATCAGCATTCGTAACACAATATAAAGCAGTATGCAATGCATTTGGTACATATCTTGGAGAGCCGTGAGAATTAAGAATACTATCATGTTTATATCGAGCTTGAATTTCTCGAATTTCAGCCAACAGATTTGGAACAGTTGAAAAAGTGGTGTTTACAGCAGCACCCCATAAATCATCTTTAATTAAACGTCAACATATCAAGTTAACTACACCAGATGTTTGTTCAGCTGTAGGACAAAAATGTGTAAGATTTGCTTCATTACATACTATTTGGTTCAGATCATTTTCGTTAGGAGCGTAACCAGAAAATTTTGGTAGGGGGGGGGGGGGCGACTTTGCCCCCCGTTTTAGAAAATGGGCTATTCTAACCATGGTCTTCCATCGTACCAATTTGCCTCGAATGATCTGTTTCCATGATTTTTTGGATATGAGCTGAGTTTACGTTGAGCAGGTCGATCTTGGCAAGAAATACTAACATCAGCAACATTACCAATTGTTTTATTATTGTTTTTTTCTGCATGTTGTACTTTTTTCTGATTTTCAATATTGATGTTTTGACAGGACGTTATTGATCGTGTTTCAATAGGTTCATCAATATCAATAGTAACACGAGATGTATGTGAGTCGCATGACTGTATAATAGCATTTTCATTATTGGCATCATTTGTTTGTTCGTGAGGAGATTTATTCTTTTTTTCAGTAGATAAAGAAAAACGAGAATCAAGAGTTTTTCTTTTACTATTGTCCAATATAGCTAACGCTTTTCATCGGTACTGACGAACAAAATCAACTCGAAATCGAAATATGTGTGTAAAAGTATTTATACTTCACAGAACGCAATTAAATTAAATATTATTTTTCTCTATTAGCTTTTTAAAGATATGCATTGCTCTGATTTTACACTAGTTGGTGTATATTTATGTACTATTATACACATTAAAAAGTTCAAAGAACACACAAATATTGGCTATCGCCTTTTATCATATTATATTGGCATAGTGCACCGAATAATTTATTCTCAAAATGATTGATTCATTTATCATTACAATGAAAGGCTAAACGTTTCGTGCGGGGGGAGGCTCCGCCCCCCCCCCTAGCCCCCTCTGGCTACGCCCCTAAGTTTCGTTGATCTATGAACAGCAAACAAGTGGAAACGAACGTTGAGCAGGAGTGCATCCGCCTGAAAGTCCTTTTAGTTTATCATGAGCAGAGCGTACTGCACTTTGAAATTGTTCTATTGCAAATTTAAATTGTTCCTTTGCGACTCTATTTGATGATGTCTTTTTAGTTGATGTAAGTTCTTCAAAAACTAATTTTGTGGGCTCATCAATACGGAATTTAGATATATGATAAGAATAAAGATACTTGATCATAACATTAACTGCATCGAATGCTTTACGTTTTCATAAATCTCTACTTAGGGAAAAGGCCATAAGAGTTTTTGCGTGAAAGCTTTCAGCTACAGCCTGATCAAGCAAAGCATGCTCACATCCGTTCAATGATTAAGTCATCAATCTAGAATGGAGAGGAACAGTAAAATACTAATTATGAAAGAATTTTCAATGAAATATAAAATTTACAGCCATATTATTAAATATATTTATATGAAAAAACAAATCGAATACAATTTTGATGTTTACTCAATACCATGCACTCTCGTTTTCCGGATTCCATTCACGACTAAACTTATTTGCTATATCACGAATTGTTTTCAATCTTGGATCATTGAGTTTGTCCTCAAAAATTTCTAATGGAATATCCCATCGAGCGCCCAAAAATACACCGATAATAGGTAAAGCATAAAAGTTCTGTTTAACATTCAGATTTCGAAGAGCTTCAGTTAAATTATTCGAATTCGCGACATACTGAAGTGCTTCAAGAAGCACGCGGGGAGCATAAGCTGGATGCATGTTTACGTTTGGATTCATTGAACGACCATACCGTAAACATACAGCACTTACATCGTCATGAAGAGACGGTGCTAAAAATGCTAACTGGATGGCTTCTTCCCATGTCTTTTTTCTTAATAATGATCGACAAATAAGATTAACAATACCGGCAACTTCTCCTGCCAATCGATTATGATGTGTTAAATTTGCTTCTTTCTTTGAGATATCAAATAGATCATCGTCATCAATCCAATGACATAATGCAAGAGGAAACGAACGACTAGATGGACCACATCCCGCAGTTTTATTGCCAAGTGTGCTATCAGTCAATCGTGCAGTTTCGTCAATAATAGATTGATCAAACAGAAAAGATTCACGACTCACAGGTGATCGTTTAGATTCGTTTTGAACTCTATTTTTTAAGCTTTCATAGACAATTTTTGTCGTTTCACCAAGATCATATTTTTTTGTATGATATGAATAGAGATATCTGGACATAATATTGGGACCATCGAAACGTTTTAATTCGAGAAGACTTTCGCTGAGTTGTGATGCCATGTGACAAGAATCATCAAAGTTAGATACAAGCGCATGTCCAATAAACATTCCATCACAACGTGCATGGATACTAGCCATTTGATATGAAAATCTTTTAATGAAAATAAATATGAACTTTAAAAAAACATGCTATTTTCATTTGTCTTGATTTGAATCTAAGATTGACAAATGTCAATGATCAAAAAATGTATAAAAATTCGACGTCTGAAGAATGATAGAAAAATATTTATTTCACCTAGAAGAAAAATGTCGTTGTTGGAAGGCAGGAATATTTTTCGCTTCATTGTATTATTTCGTAGAAGTATGCTACTTAGGTGTCATAAAACTAACATAGAATAGAAGAGAACAAATAAGAAACCCCATGCGCTAAATGACTATTTCGTTCTCATGACAAGCTTTTTGTTCGTAAAGTAAATATATAGATATTTATACAAAGAATGAAGTAGAGAACTTTGCACGTGTAACAAAAATACATTTTATTAGAAATACTTCGTGAAAAAAATTAATGAAGTTGACTTTTTATTGAAGATTCTAATTTAAACAGCATCTATTTTACATTGTGTTTTTTTAAATCTATGATGATTAAAATTTTTGAATTCCGATGGACGTCACCGGTAATCAATACCAATTGAATTACTTTGCGAACGATTGGCTTTTTAAAGTGAATCAATAAGAAACGAAAAAAGAAAACGAACGAAACTTGATCTTGTATTTTATTTTTCAAGTTTCGTACTATTTCCAAATTCTAATCATGTCAAACACGAATGGTATGAATCCTCCGCTGCTTTTTAATAACAATAAATCTCTTTATGGAGCAAAAAGTCAAGCAAGTCAATCATCAAAGAAAATTTCACTGATCGAAGATAAAACAACGCTTGAGCCAGCACGTGCACATCGATCATCACTCATTTTATCTTCAACAAATGCAAACTATCAACAATCAACATCGATTAATATTCCAACGTCATCTGAATGCACAAATTCACAAATACATAAACAAATTCTAGTTCAAAAACAAGCGTTGGAATCATTTGATCTTAGACATGCACATAATCATGTTTATCAAGAATTAGATGAATGGAAAAATTCTATGTATAATCGTCTACAATCAATGAAACATGATAAATTAGCTGAAAATAATGAATCATATAACGAATTAATCAAACTTCAAAGCAGTATGAAAAAATTACTTCAAGATCAATTTGTAAAAAAATTATTAATCATGAAAAGTAATCCACAATCAACTGATTCTGAACAACTTGATGAAATGGAACAACGTTTACAACAAATGAAAGCAAGATTTAATAAAATATATTATTTATTTACTTGCCATTTTTTGTTTTCGTAGGATACAATTGATTTTATGAAAAACATTGATTTTCAACTGGATTCTTCGAAAATTCAAATAACTGGTGAATTACAATTAAATAAAATGACAGATTTTAGTAAGCATCAACCATTACGTCATCCTTCACCTTCACCTTCAGCACCACCTCAATCTTTACCATCGTTATTTGAGACAAGTAACGAAAAAAAAGCAAAATCTTTACAAATTATCTAATTTTGTTTTTGATGTCTCAATCTGTAGTTCCTAGATCTCCTTCACCGACCCCAATGGAATGTAAGCCAACACCACCAGTTTGGACAGATGCAACACGGCAAGGTCTTAATAATCTATCACATAATCTTCCATTTCGTTTATTAATACCAAATTATGTTCGAGAAGAATTAATTAAAACTCTTGATATTGAACAATTCAATGATGCATTGAAACTTTCATGTCAATCGTGCATTGAATGTATACTAACTATTATAGATCAACATGATATCGAAGCATCTATTGATATCTTAACTGATTTAATCGTTGCTTTTAAATGTTCTTCGAATGAGTATGAAATTCGATTGTTATTTCAAAACAAATTTATACCAATTATAACTGGAAAACGTAATGAACGTCTTGAACGTTTACGTGATAAATATCAACTTGATTTGGTTAAAGTTTTCCCGCAAACATGTCCACAAAGTGATGAAAGAGTTGTACTTTTACGTAGTCATCATCATAGTGACTATATTATCTAGTAAGTCCTATTGTTTCCTTCGAGATCAAACAAATATTCTATTGATTACGAGAGACCTTTTCAGTTGAAATGTGTATCATACTGCATTGACAAGTTGTTCATAGAGTTCATCAATTATATAATAACGAACTTGATTGTCTAAATTTTTTCTGAAAAATTATTTTGTCTAACGATAGAAAGATATAAATAGACACTAAGGATGAAAAGGAAAACAAAGTTAGAATGGGAAATTTGAGTCGAAAAGAACAGTCCGACTAGGGAATTCAGAGCATGATAAATAATCAGCATTACTAATGAGTTTATTGATGAAAGTGTCTAACACGTATACTAAATTAATCGAAGGCTAGGATTTGATTATGGAAAATAATAAACCCTATTGAGTTAGTTTGATTACAACTATCTTACGAAAAGGTCAAGAATAACAAATTTGACAAAATACTAGCTCCTACTGGCGTTAAAATCATTAAACAAAAAGGTCTACTTTCCCCATCATTTGCATAGCATTCTTTGTCCATTTCGATCCGATCAAATGTGTGAACGATACAAATACAAGTATATGGCTAGTTCGAAGATAGATGAACATCAATCAGCTAGTCAGCAGTACTATGACAAAAATCGAAAGGTTTTCGTAAACTTTCTGAGTTTTCAGCGAACTATAATCGGATTGAAGAGCTATTTCCTAAAAAAATCGAAAGTGGATTAAACACACTGTGCGAATGCAGTTATCTTAAAAATCAGCATAGATAAAAATTCCATCGATGAAATCTTATTTCTACTTATTATACAGTTATTGGGCTAGCGAGTGACACAACTATAAATAATATAATGTAGCGATAATATTCGTATTTAATATCAGAATTTGATTATATTTACATAGATGAATATTATCGATGTAATATACTCATTATTCATGCTAGTTGTTTCTTATACTCAAATTTCATCTATTGAATATTCAATGATTTAAAATATGTTAATTACTAAAAGAAACGTTTCTCGCTGATGGTATATTCGAATAACAGAAATGTTTATCTGATATTGAATCAAGCTAGTTCTACATCAACATAACAATGTGTATAAATTAAATCATATTGAATTCGAATATCAATCATTTTCTAATGAAAACTTTTACTATATAAAAATAGAATACATATCTACAAGTGCGGCTTGATTTAAAACATTTCTCTCTACATATTTTGTTTTAGTTGTCTTCGAGAAATTATTCAAAATATCCTTGAACAAGCTCATTTTACGGATGAAGATGTTCATCAATCATATCCAATGTATGATCCATCATTGCATTATGATGAGTCATGTGCTCAGGAATACGGTGCTTATAAACCAAATGATACTTGTGAAATAACAACAAATAATAATATTACTACTTCATCGGAAGATTTAACTGAATTGAAACAGCGATCAACTATTTCAATGAATTCATCGTCGTCATCATTGTCAAAGACTCGTTACAATTATGAAGATGCTCCATTAAACTATGATGATACTGATACAGAATCTAATGATGATGACGATGAATCAAAACGCTCAAAATCAAGTGATGACAAACGAATTTATGTTAAAGAATTAAATTATGTTAAAGGAAGACAAGTTGGATTACTGATTGGTCCATTCGGTATAGAATTAAATGTTCTTATTAGTATAATTGATTTCTATATAATCGACATGTTTTTAGGTCAACATATCACACAAATTCGAGAACAAACCGGCGCAAAAATTCATTTAACAAACGACGATAACGAACCATCAGTAATTAAAGGAACAAAAAGTCAAATTCATCAAGCACTTCGTTTGATTAAAGAATGTTTACAGACACAAAAGCCAATACCAAGAACAGCTTACAAAGGCGGTCGACGTCGTTAAAATTACCTTTTTCTTTTTTTTCCCATGTTTTCTTCTTTCAACGTGTACATTCGACTTATGTCAAAGCTTTGATACTTATATCAGTGTGAAGAATGAACTTATATTCATTATTGTTTTAGATACATTGTTATAGTGTTCTATGATAGATAAATGAACATGTGATAGACTATTTTATTAAAGCGATTAGAACAGTTTTCACGTGTGAAACTTAATCTATTCTATCAAAACAAGATAAAAACTGCTAAAAATTACAAAACATTCTAAACTATTTTTCTAAATAAAACTTTGAGTGTAGTTGTCATGAGAACATAGTTTGTAAGTGACTTTTATTCCATCCTGGAATACTTGATTATTCAAATAGCTACTGATGAGTTTTCATAGTTGATTTTATCAAAATCATAATTATAGTATGAAATAACCTTATTAGCTATTTTTTTCATATTCCTGTAAAGTAATAAAATAAATCAGGTTGCGTAAAGTTTTAATCAAAGGTATAACATTTCAAAGACGTTATATTACGATCTGAATTGATTTTTCTACAATTGTAAAATCAGACAAAATGACTAATATTTTTTTGTTTGGATAACACCGGAGATAAAAATTCATGATATTTACGAACTTCTGCTTGGGTAGAATGCTTAATAAATTTCTTTAGATCTTTCAATATTACAAAATAATAACGCTAAAAGTCATTATTTATTAAAAACATTCATCATAAGATAAATACAATAACAAAAAGGCTTAGGGGAATCGCATGAAATATGTAAAGCTTTATCATATACGTTAGCAAGTTCTTCATGCGAGAGAGATGTTTTTCTTGTCTCCAATGAGAAAACTTTTATTTTAATGGAATAACTGATGAACTCAACTTTATAAAATATCTCGTTACAATGATGATCGATAATATCATCGTCATGATTTTAAACGAAATTATACAATATATTGTTTAGATTGATTTGAAAAGAACTTACTCAAATACTTCCATTGAAGAATAGTATTCAGCAAGCTATTATAAATTCATATCCATTCAGAGAAAATGCTAAAAACACTATAATGAACGTTATATAAAAAAGAAATCCTAGACATTTTCTTTTCATTTGTTAAAGAGTCATGAGACTTTTTTGCGTTTTCAGTTCTGTGTGAAAGACGGCGAGACCATTCACATGATATCCATTTCAGTAATTGCAAATTCTAAAGCTGCTTACGATAGCTAACAGTCAAACTATTACTAGTATGTTAACGCGTGTGAAAGAAGAAGCAGTATCGATAAAGAACTGACATTTCTTTTCTTCTTCTCAGAGATTACATCAATGTCACATATAAACATAGTTCAAACGCTCTATTCATTGCTTCAATGCAATATTGTTTTAGTCATGCGTCAAAATTTTACATATCAATCGAGATATTTTCATCAGATAAAATAACTTCAACAAAAGCAAAGCAAAATAAAACCTAGTATGATCGCACTATAGCAGAAAAAAGCCTGGATTTTATATTTATCATATTATGGATCTAGGTAAAACTGAACATCACTATGAAATCGAATATAACAAAGACGTATGATTTAAACGATATATGCTAACATATAGAAACATCAAAATTTGAAAATTTTGTTCGTTAATACAAGTATTTTGAATTTCGACGAATGATGTATCTATCATTTGCGTTGTACTATCAAATTTAAAGAACATGTGATAAATAAACACGTGTTGTCGTCCGAACGTTCATCATATTTAAGGCTAGACAGTTATCATTTGAACAAGTACATATTAAACATCTGTTAGAGACGGTCACAATAAAAAATAAATAATCATGGATCGACAGTTACCACTACCATGTTGTAATGAAGTTCGTAATAACAATTGAAATTAATAATTTTATTTTAAATCGTATATTTTCTATTCTTTAGTTTTATCCAATGCATTCGTATGCAAATCAATTGAATGAACAATTTTCATGCATGAAAACAAAAGGAATTGTTCGAGATTCTCCAATAATCAACCAACATTTATTTATGAAACCACAAAATGCAGTAAGTAATCATTTTATTTATTGATATCGAACGAGTGGATATGCATATTTTTGTAGTATGTGCTTTCTTCGACACATCATCGTTCTACTTATGGTCTTGATAAAGCACAAGTTTTTCCTACTAATTCATCATTATCAACAATGAATCGTTACTTATCTATGCCATCAATTGATCAAGTAAGTTAATAACAAATTTTTGAGTTTACTTCAAAATATTTTGTATAATTGGAATAGTTCTCTTGCATGGAACAACGACTTGAAGTAGATCATCCTTTACGTATTCATGTTGGAAATATACCATTTTTATGGACTATTGATGATTTATGTAAACAATTTCTAGTAAAAAAACTGCATTTCCGAAAAAAAGACATACTTATTCATCTTCTATTCAAGGTATTTGGACCAGTCAAAGATCCTGAAATCGTTTCGAATGAACGTGGGTCAAAGGTAAGATAAATAAATTCATAGAGAAAAGCCTTTTTATAACTGTTTTTGTCTTCAGGGTTTTGGTTTCATTACATTTCTTCGTCATAGTAACAGCAATTTGAATTAAAATTAAATTAACGTTTCTCTTATTATTCTTTTAGGTGATGGCTTAAATGCGATACGCGTAAAAAATGGATCCATTGCTGACGGTAGAAAGATTACAGTAAGGCTTCTTTTTTGTTCAATCTAATTGAAGTCTCATGAGATATTTACTTTCTTAGGTTGCTCTAGCATCTTCTCGGTCATCAACTCGTTTAAATGCTTCTAATGTTAATTGTTATTATATAAATAATAATATTTTAAGTTAAATAGTTCGTTTCGTTTTTTTTTTCTTTTTCAAATAAAACCAAATTCATTATTAGGCGATCTGACAACCATCGCTCTTTTCTTTCACGCATATACAAACAAACAAACAAACAACAACATGTATATATATATATATATATATATTAAAGATAATCATCAGGAAAGAAAAACAGAAACAAAAAAATAGTTACGTATATATGACACAAAAGAAAAATTTCTTTATCATTTTTTTGTACACCGGTTCTTAAATTCTACCACTTTATTGTTTTTCATCAAGAGTTTTTAAACGATTTTTTATTTCAATATATGCTTCACTATATATTGAATTTAATGTTAAATCGTCTTATTCAAGTTCAATTAAACGTTTTTTTAAACGTTCAATTTCATTTGTAATTAGTGGAGTATTATGACTTTGTATATCACTATGATTTAATGATGTAGCTCTTCCAATACGAGATATATTTGTTTTTTTTGTATCCGTTGTCATGGACCATGATACCGAATGATTCATCGCCCGTTGTCGATTATAATTCAATGACGATGTTACACTTATAGAAGTTGCAAGTGGCGCAGCTGCTAATAATGAATTCGATGACGCCGAAAGTGGTTGCTGTGAATGATTAGAAAATGAATTTGAGGGAACTATTGAAGGTGTAGTTGCAGGTACATCCGTTTCTTTAACGGATGGTAAACGATGAAATCCGCTGCCAGTTCGACGAACATGACTGTGAAATGGAAGACGACAATTCGCCTCGATAAGACCAGGTGCACTTTTACTTCGTTTTAAATTAACTAAAACATGAAGAAAAAAAGAATATTTCTATAAACACTATGTTATTTGTTTACCTTGTTGAATTAAAGGTTTTTTATGTTTTTCAAGACGTTTGACAGCTATCGCTTCAAGTTTTACACGTACAGCTGGATATTCTTTTAATACTTCCCAAAGGTCTAAACATGTTTTGATGCAAAAATTTTAACGATGAAAAATTTTTGTTTTAAAAATTACCTTCTTTTGAAAGACAAAATAAGTCTGAATAACCAACGGATCGAACCGATGCTGTTCGACGATTCCCGCTACCCATATTTAAAATACTGATTTCTCCAAAATATGATCCTAATTATAATGAAAATGAATATAGACAAGACAATCTCTCTATCAATTGAAGCTCTTTTTAATACCGGCTTTTAATGTTGCTAAGACAGTTTTATTATTATCTGCCATAACATGCAATTTTCCACGATTAACAATATACATTTCTCTTCCAACTTCACCTTTTCGACAAATAAAGTCTCCGGGTGAGAACAGAACAGGTTTAAGGCGTAGAACGAGTTCATTTAGAAAGCCGGCTTCAGTATTTTGAAATATTTCAACCTACACAAACAAATTCATAATGTATATAAGGTTCGCGCAAGGTGAATTTCGAGTAAAATTTTTATTTTTCGCCTTTTATACCTCATCTGATAGAGAATTTTACGGTGATCACGAATATATGTTCTTTAAGGTTATTTCGATGCTTTCTTCAGTTTAAAAAATCGAAAAAACTTCGTTTTTTCCATGGTTTTTGTAAAATTGAATTTCTGACTCTACTCTTAGATACTCGAAAAGAACATACTCTTGTTCAGCTTGAAAAATTGAATCAGAAAATATCTTAAAATTGTTTTTGACCTAAAGCGTTGCCCGTCAAAGTCTCTAGGAACGCGATTTTCAAAGCCCAAAAGCTAATTTTTAAAAACCTTTCAAAAGCGTTTCCTCAAGTGCTAGAATCGATTTTTTTGCATGGTTCGATTCGTCAGATGCTCCTCTTCAAAAATGTGCCAGTCATTTTTTCGAAATTTCTTTCTCTTCGTGAAGAAAATTGGGTTTTACCTTGGACTACGTGGAAAACTAAAAATCCATTTTGAGGATTTTTGAAAGTTTCGCCAGTAATACAATCAAGACAGCACCTAGTAGGTTAAAAACGATGGGGAATTCGATGGAGACACTACCGAGATCTACAGGTGGTTTCTAAAGGGTGTGCAAAGGGTTTTTGAGAGATTTTCAGGTATTCACATGGGAGAAATGACTCATGAGTGTGATTTTTTATGTGAGGTCTGCTTTTCTTAGGAAAATTAGAAGGTTTTTTATTTTCTTCTCTGTATGAATGCTGTCACAACTAAATGAACATTTAAGCGGTTTGGATGTGGATGCGGGTTTAAACAGTCTATATCTAGACTTACATCCACACCCACACCCCACAAAGCTTTTTCGATTTTTCAAACTGAAGAAAGCATCGAAATAACTTTAAAAAAGCTATATCATTGTAAAAAAAAGTTCGCAAAATAATAAACGGCGAAAAGTTTTTGATAGGGTATTTAACAAAAAAAGGTTTTATCAGATATTTCAAAAACAGAAAAAAGGGTATGTGCCACGTTGCACTTTCATAACCGTTTTTTTTTACAGTGATTCGTGATAACCGTAAAATTCTCCGTCAGATGAAGTATAGAAGGAGAAAATTAAAAATTTTACTCGAAGTTCGCCTTGCGCAAACCTTACTTTAATAGAAAGAATTCTTTTCTTTTTTGATTAAGAAGAAAAACTTACTCGTTTTAAAGTATCTAAATGGACATGTATTGCTATTTCAGCACGAAGTTTATATGGTAATAGTGAAAGAACTTGATTATCATCGACTGACTTATGACTCATCCATAAGTAATCAAACCTAAAAATATGTTGCAAAATGATAAATAAATAGAAGAAAAATAATAAATATGTTCTGATTATGAAGTCTAGAGCGTAATGACTTTCTGTATTTATAGTATGCTATAAATAGTTATTCTTTTTTTCAATATGAGGTAAGAAGATCTCCCAAAAAGAGGAACATACATTTCAATTACGACAAATGTAAACATAAGAACACTTGCATGTTAAAAATTGAATGTTCTCAATATGTATATGGGTGAATCGTATTCCATTTGTACAATTCGAGGAAAAAATCAAAAAAATAAAAGTGCTCATATAAGAAAAATAGCTTCGTAGTATCATAGAGGAACCTAAAATATTTACCAGAAACTTCTTTTCCTTGCACTTTACTTAAAAATAAAATCGTTAATACAATGAGAAAAGTCACTATAATCATTTTCAGAGAAATCTTTCAAAAACGCTATAATCTTTAATACAAAAGAATGAAAGACGCATCAATCAGTGTAGCTCTACTAGACACGTCAAACAATTTATAGCTGAGCCTTCGAATAGAAACTAAACCTGATGAGTGCTTGAAAAAGCCGTACAATTTCTTCTATCGATTTTCAACAAGACAATTAAACTTCATTCTGAAAGTGATACCATTAGATTGGTCTACCAGTGGCGAATCTAATGGTCCTTAACTAGTTAGTAAGTGACCTAAAGATCATTGAGATATTCATGGTTTTACATTACGGGACATTTTACATATAATTTGTCGATTGCTTGGTTCAGGAAGGTGTGAGCACGTTGAATTTTTTATCAGATATAGGATCATGGAGAGTAAAAAAGAGTATAAATTTCATGCAAAATAATCAACCCACTTAAGAGATATTTAAGTCACAAATTAAAAAAATGACGGCACAAAATAAGGATACATTAGAGTTTTCGAAAATTTATTTCCTCACACCCAATTAAGATTTTGATGAAATCTAGCGCTGTTCTTTAGAGAAGTTGTGCCTAACAGTGATCTTATTTTTAAAATTGATCCGAGTTGGTTAGCATGTTTCTTTTAAGAGAAAATCATTTTTTAAGATAACGGGACAAAAAAGACACACTGTATGTCAACTCAATATTTTTCATTTATTTATTAAAGGAAGCATTTTTGAGAAAAATTAAGGTTTCATTCTGATTCGTTGCACATTTTTCTATATATCTCTAATTAAACAAAATGCGACAATCAACTTTTCTTATTTGAAAACTTTTTCACTCTACCGAGAGGTGGCACTAATTTTTGTGTTTTTTTCACTGTTGCCAAACATAACTTCAGATAGAAGTGACATCGTCTTATGAAATTTTCAGAAGTGTAGGGAGGCATCTAAATGAGTATTCCGTAAAATTTTCAAACCAATTGGAGTTGTGGAACAAAAGTTATTCGTCAATTAGCAGCTTGGGCATAATTATACAAATGGAATACGATTCACCCATATACATTAATATCTCTAAGATCCCAATCACACCGAAAAAGTGAATTCAGCAGTGTGATTGGCGCATTACGATTTAGTGTCATCTTTTTGAGACGATTTAAATTTGAATGCGCCAATCACGTTGCTTAATTTAACTTTAACTTACTTCACTTTTTCAGTGTGTCTAGGGTCTAATGCTAGAACATAACTATCTTCGTAATTTTGAAGAATGTTTTCTTTTTGGTAACCTTTAGAAAAACGCCATTATAAGTTTTCTGATTAAGTAGAAGAATTAGGATGAAAATAGACTCAAGTCTTATTCTTCAGAAATACGACTAATTAAAATGCATTCTCTATTATCAATGCAAGTTCTCAATAAGCCGGAAAGAACAAATTCCGATAACATGTCTTGAATTTCATTTCGTGGATATGTTTTTCATTTAATTTAAAAAGACAACAAGAAAAATAACTATCAATAAACTAACCATCGAATAACACGATCTTCTAAATTATTCGGCACACGTCGTAATGACATATAGGTTTTCACTGCATCCAATTTAGCTGTAAAAAGAAAAGTACGATAAGAAAAATCTTCTTAAAAACAAAATTCTATGATTTAATTCTTTATTACCTTGAAAATCTTTTCTAGCGTTACTTAAATTCGAAACAATTGATGCAACATGTCCCATGATAGTTGCAAATAATAATAAAGCAAATATAAGTTCAACACTTAAAAATATATAATCTTCTTTCGATGCTGGTTTTGTTTCATGATTTTGTGTCAATGTTAATGTTGTTATTGACCAATATCTTTTGTAATAAAAAAAGAAAACAATTTATGTTTTGGTTTTTGGTTGTCTAATTGTGAACTTACAAGGCTCTAAAATAATCTAGACCATTATCATTGAGAGTAAATGAAAAACGTCTTGTAAAACTTAATTCTGAATTTGTATGTAATATATAAATAAAACATGCATTCCAATGAAATATGGCAAGTAAATAATGTATCATAACGATCGTACGAAATAGATTTGGATAATTCGTATGTCGTTCGGTGCGATCCAAAAATGTCCAAAACCGATAAATTTTTACTAAACGAAATAATCGAACAACTGATTTAAAACCAATTGATAAATAGAGAAAGTCTAATGGCATTAAACAAAGACAATCGATATAAAATCTTGTTGTATTCATATAATAGTGGCGTAATTTAATCGGATCTGTTTGTAAAACACCTTCTTCTAGATAAGCTGTACGAAAATTAAACATAATATCCATTAAATAAAGAAAATCACACGAATAATCGAGTATAAACCATATTAAAAAAGTCTTTGGCGTTAGTTCATGAAAGGAAAAACGAAAAATAATTATCCAAAAGTTATAAAGAAATGCAAGACTTATTATTGATGTCCACCAATAGGCTAAACGACCACTTGGATCAAAGATAAAGGTAAAACGACGTGATGAATGTGTACGTCGTGTTGTTGGTGAGTTCAAATCAAATTTTTCGAATCGTGCTTTTATATCTTGTCGACGAGCTTTACGTAATTGTCGAGATTGCCGAATAAAATCTCCTTGATAAGTAGAGAATAGATTTTCATTATCCGGTGATAGATGTTGTTGCACTGCGGGTGGTGATGTTGTTGCTATGATTGAATTTTTTCGTACATTTGCTGGTAATTTTGTTGTAACTGCATCTAATGCAGATTGTCTTGATGTCGATTGGCGGATATTAGATGTAGTAATAACATCTCTAATCGATGAATTTGTTGATGACTGATGTGTTTGCTGCTGTTGTTGATGTTGTTGTTGAGATATTCGATCGACTCTTTTTGTAAGGAATTGATCTGATGACGAGCTATCAAGTGGTTGCTTTGGAGATAAAGATGGTGGTTGAATTGGTATTTTGATAATAGTTGAGTCAGTTGAGGAAGATTTTTTAGGCACACTTGATTTCGATGGAATCAAATGTGTTAATGATGATGCATGATGATTCGGTGAAGACACTGATGGTGAGATCTTTCTATTTGTTGTTGGTGAAATCCTAATTTCGCATAGATCATCATCGATAATTGATGAATATCCTTGCTGAGATGGTTTCGTTGGTGAAGGGGGCGAGATGTCGTTGTCAGTGGTTGAATTGCATACTTGATAGCGTATAGACGATTTGAACGATGACGCTTGAGCCATGCCATCACGAGCGTAATGCCCAATATTGGGGCGGCTGTAGCTCACGGATCTCTAATAAGAAAAAAAAGACGGAAAAGAACAAGAGCAAGAACAAGACATTTTGTCATTATAGTTCTGTTTTTCTCTAATATGCAGGACAGAATTGCATGCTAACTAAAATATTATTATGAAAAACAAATAAACGAAACCGACACTTAGTTTTTGAATAGATTTTACCAATTTTTGTGTGTAAAGTTCATCTGGTAAATTTTATGGCTAGTAGTCAAACCCCCAAAGCGACTAGAATGTTATAGGAAGAGACCGCAGGCAAATCGAAATCAATCTCCAAATTGTAGAGTTTATGATAAGGAACAGCGTAGCAGAAAAGAAGACGAGAAAAATGAGATGAATATAAAACGAAGAAAACATACTGCTGTAAACATGTAATGCAATCTCTCTTCTTATTTTTTGTGTTAGAAAGATTTTAGCTCTGACGAATGAAGGCCATCTGATATTCTTATTTAGTAAATATCGACGTATATATCACTACATATTTGACAGCTGTCCATTGTGTTTGCCCTTCTTGTTTTCTCAAGCATCATTAAAAAAGAAATAGAAAAAATCTTACAGAGGTATTAAGAATTCGACAAAAGAACAAAAAGAATATGATTATCAATGATAATCGTTGTACAATATCGTTGTTTCTTGAATACATCTCAATGGAAACATAAATAGAAATACAATATATCAATAGAATATTGACCTATGAATACACATTTCTACAGCAGGATTTTCGATAAAGTAATATCTTAAATGAAGGTGTTATTAGCGATCGATAAACAGACAGAGTTAATAAGAACGTCAAAACAAAATATATACATACATATATATATATATATATAATAGTAATAGAAAGACGAAACGCGATTCCTCTGATTTTAGCAGCTGTTATATTAAATAGAATCTGATAACAGTTCTTTTTTTTTGTCTTGTTACTTAGAAACACAAGCGAAAAACCAGAGCGACTGAGAAAGAAAATATTGATTTTAAATTTACCTTTTATTTGTTTTTTATTACAATTGGTAAAATTAAAATAATCTTGATCATTGTCAATAAATATGATCATTATCACTTTTCTTGCCAATTGTGATTATCATGCAAATAAAAGAAATACAGATGAAAATTTCTGGTTTTCTTTTTATCTAGAAAATAAAATAGACAATCTATGATTTCTTTCTGCTTAGTTTAATTTAAAAGAATAATATGTTAATATATTCTCAGATAGGCAAATAAATAATAGTTCCGTCAAGATCGAACAATTTTTTTTTGCGTCGCTTACAATTTTTTTTTTACATTCTTGTTACATTCTTTTTTCTTTCTTTCTATTCAGGCAGAAGCACACTTAGTCTCATAAGGAATATTACTTAATGACAATTTTTTTTATGTTTGCTTGATTGTCCTTGGAAAAGCTGTCGACTGTCACTGTAATAGACAATTTATAATATCTATCCATCGATCTAAAAAAAAAATATATATATATATATATATACATATGAATAAATGAATTCGAGACGACGCTTTATTCATTCGAACGTCAAATTAAGTCAACCGGGATAAAAACCGATGATTATGAACGAATGACAAAACGAAGAGAAAGAAATAGAGACACTTATCTAAGAATACTATTTCTTTAAAGAAAGGAAAGAGTTAGCTAAAGTGGGACGTCTAATTTTATATTTCTCTGTTGTAAAACTAGTTTTGTAACAATTGTTGTTATTACTAATGTAGATTTCTAACGGATAAAATTGGATTAACACACAACATAATATATAAGAGGCGATAGAAGTCGAAGCTTTGCCACTTTGTAAAAGCTTGATGACGCGCTAAGAAAGCACAAATCATTTAAACCGACACCCGAGTATCACATTTGCATTCGATCGCCGGCATCGTTTATCGAGAAGGAAAACTCTTGGTTGATGATGAACGAGAATAAAGAAGAAGAAAGAAAGATGATGGTAGTGACGACGACAAAGATGTTGATGAAGCGAATGATGACAATGTCTTTTACTTAAGAATGGATGAGCTCAGCAAGATTTAACATGTACTATCAAAGCTATTGAAGAAACAATTTTTATGTCCGGAGTGAAGGACAAGTGCAATACACGTACTCTTATAGTCGAGATTACACTATGGTAAGTACTCCTGCGATTTGTCTTGTACTTCTTTTTTTTGTCTTTCCACTTACTTGTGATAACAGCCAAAAAAAAAGATATTAAATAAGCTTCTTAGATTTCGTCTTATTCTAACTCGTCTTTATGTGTCCAGTCGTGCGTGAATATTCGGTTACTTAATAAAAATAAATATTGCTATAGGACATATTAAAAAAGCCTGTACAAGAATGAAAAATAAGGCAATATAAAAAAACTATGAACCGATTTTTTACGAACTATTTCACAAAAACTAGCTTAATTCACATACATTCTATGGAGTGGAAACCGTGTATACACGCAGAATAAAATCTAATTTAGCTTATATATCGTTACTATTGACTCTTAGTGGTGTTGCTATCGGGGCTGCTATTTTTATTTTGAAAGTTTTCATGTGAAATAATTACATATAATAACGAGCTATTTAACTGCAAAATTTTAAAAAAAGCAACACGAAAAGCTATGAAAACATATCAACGGATCATTACATTTTTAAATGAGCAAGTCCATTCAGAAATCTTTCATTCGCTTGAATAGAAATAGTGGGTGTTTTTATTAATGGGAAAAGGAAACAGGAAGAAATTCGGTGTGAAAAAATGAACGTCAATGTATGTGCATGGGCGCCTTTTTTTTCTCCTTTCTCTCTCTCTCTCTCTCTCTCTCTCTTTCTCTATTGCATTATAGTTAGATGGATACTGTTATTAAAAAAATTGCTTCTATGTCTCTCATTTTCCTAAAAACCTCGAGCTACTGTTTTTTTTTTCTATCATAAATAGAGGCAAAATTAAGCAACTCTAAATGAAGCAACCAAGGAGATTGACGCCTCTTCTTTTATATTTATATTCTTATTATAAAAACTGAAGAAAAAATGATTACCTGAGATCTTCTATGAATACTAGTTTTATTAATATTATCAATAAGGATAGGTTTTTTTCTCTTTAGTAAACGATGGGTGACATGCCAATAGACACAACTCTAAATCAAATTGTTAATTAATATATAAGACAAGAACACGCGCGTGCACAATGATGATTGTTGTTATCCGCGAACACGCACGCATCAGTCGACTTGACATTCTTTCAGCTTTTCAACACAGACTTAGTTAATTCTCTCTTCTTCTTTTTTTCTGTGTTATATTTCTCTAGTTTGAAATTGTTCTCATGAATAAATAAACAATATACTATCATCTTTTTTTTCTTCTCTACTCTTCTCTTCTTTTCTATTGACCATGGTGCTGATCTAATAGAAAATGCAAAAGATTATTAATAATTTTGTTCCGTTCTTTTACTTTCTCATCTTTTTTTGATATCATTAAAAAGAAAAGGAAGAAGGAAACAATGAGACTCGTCTGATAAACGCTTTCGACCAATGGTCAAACAGCAGACTATCAAGGAAAACGATAGAGACGCAAATTTTCCCTTTTATCTGGCCTGGTCCCTTTATAATAATAACAACAACAGTATCAGTATTGTAGCATTGATTTATCTTAACTCCAAAGCACGCGCGCTGTCTTTCGTTCATTCACCCTCGAGCCTATGTGCGTGTCTTCGTTCAATTTTCTCGTCGTAGCAATGCCTAAGTCTCTCCTCTGCCTGTGTCACATCAGTCGATCGTTTCTTTTTTTTTCTATACTGTCTTTGTGTGTAACTAGTCCCATCCCTCTCTGTTTTATACTGCTGTGAGCAAAACACACGCTTTTTTTTCTCTCTCCATCTCGTTGTCTCACTCTCTCTTTCTCTATTCTTTCCTATCTATTCATTCAACAACATCAAATGAAACCATGTTGTATCCTGCCGTTCGTTGTGTCAAATGCTTGATGCTAATAGAGGAACGAACCGGTTTCTTTACTCTCTCTCTCGTTTTTTGCTTTCATGCATATATATTAGCTTTAAATCATCACTATCTGATTAAATCGGAACAGAGCAAGAGCGCATTGACGCAATACTTGACATAGGTTTATACAACCACATTTCGATATAGATAATAAAACCAAGAGATCATAATATTGGATAAGAAATCGCGCATAATCCATCCGGTTAGTAAACGAATAAGAAATAGGATGGTCGACAAACAATTGATAAGCTATAATATAAATGGCAAGTGATTCTTCATGTAATATGCATTTTAAAGATCAATACGAGTGCATATACAGATAATTGAATAAAAATAAATATAAATAATATTGAATGTTAGTATATGCTATTTCTATTTTGTTATAAAATAAAGCAAGAATAATAAATACCGTATGGCAAATTTCTCAAATGAGCTGTGTATTTGATACTTGAGTTTGCAAAATGTGACGTTTATATATTATTGAACGATCAAATTAGAAAAAAAGCAATCTTTTTGATAGCAATATGAGAATCAGGGTTTTTTAAATCTTTAAAAGACTAAATTAAAGCCACATGTAATTAGAAGATTATATTTAACACATATAAATACCTTGTTTACTAATATCGATTTATTATAATCCGAGGCAATCAGAAAATTCAAGGGTAAAAAGCAAATAATAGCAATGAAACAATAATATCAGTATGTGAATGGTGGCCAATTCTATTTATTGATTTCAACATTTTTGTCATTAATGTTGTAAAAGAAGGAAAGGGAAAACTTGATTTCAAATTCGCCTAAAAAAACCAAACATTGATGTTTTTCTTTCTTACCTTTATTTTTTTATTATAAATAATAATTTCATATAATAACAAACTACTTTTCCTATCTCTTAGTCGTTTCAAATACTCATTGTTCGTCTCGTGTTGTTTCCTCTCTTGTTGTTCTGTTTGGACCCGATCGATGTCATTCGAATTTCCGTTCGGGCAGGCATACTTGCGTGTGTATGTGTGATGAAGTTTTTATAATGCCTACTCTCTCACTCTCTCTCTCTCTAACTTCTCTGGTATGGTGACGGCGGCTCTCATTTTTAGTTGTGTCTTTTCATATCTTTGGTATTTTTGAGAAATGACTATCATTTCCTGTCATTGTCGTGAAAAAAAGCAATAAAATCTAGTCCGATTTAATCATTATAATATAAATATAGGACTATCACAAATATATATTCACTTCATTTTCAGCTTTTTTGTTTTAGTTTTCTTCTTTTTTTTTTATATGTATATATATATATATATGACGACAGCAAAAAAAACGAAATTGTTTTGAGCAAAACATAAGGAAGATCAGCTCGGATGATAGCACATAGAGAAAAAGAAATCTAACGAAAAACAAAAGGCACACATAAAGTTTATGGAATGAATGAATGAATGAATGAATGCATCAATCATGGAAAATAAATAATACAATACAAACATACACATCATACGTTTCAGATGACTAGGTTAATGAAGACAACAATAATAATAATAATAATAATACCAACAGAGAAAAGTGAAATGTTGATCTGTGTGTCTAAAAGTTTAACACACAAAAACAAAAGAAAAAAGGCGAACAACGCACATAAATACGACTGCTCATCGCCAAAGAGAAAGAGGAAAAAACGAACAACAAGAAAAAAAGTAAAAAAAAGGATAAACGTGACTTGATACAACAAACACAGAGAGAATGATCTGACATACGGTTAAAGTAAAAAAAAACAAGAAGTATCACATAAGTTGTTGTTGTTGCTGTTGAAGACTAGATAGTACTAATGCATATGCATGCATAAGCATAAAATGTGGATTATCGGCAAAAGTTGAAGAATATTTAGCAAAATAATTTTGTGCCAATAAAAGATTATATGGATTTGAAAGAAATTTGGCAATCAATTGTTGAGATTCAAGTGCAGCAGCAGCAGCAGCCAGTTGAGCACTATTATTATCGTCAGTCATTGCTGTTGTTGTTGCTGCTGTTGTTGTTGTTATTGGTGGTGGTATTGTTGTTGTCGTTGTCGTTGTTGTTGAAGATGATGATGAAGATGATGAATATTTTCGTCGTTTATCACCATTATGACTTTCAGATGATACATAAGAACAAGATGAAGAACAACAAGATGATGGACTTGGCGTTGGTAAACAATCAACATTGATTGTTAATGGACGTTTCTTAGGTGGCAATGTATTCCATCCACTACTATTATTCATTGCTGTATGAACTGATGATGATGATTTACAATCACTATTTAATTCAGTTTTCATTAATTTTGATGCTTGATTACGTTGACCACGTTGTCGATGACGATATAATGTTGACTTCACTGATGAAAATGATGGCAAATGTGATCGTATTTCCGGTGAATGTTCATCAACAGATCTTGCTAATTCTTCATCATAGATTCTTGGTATTGTAACTGTATCTTCGGCTGCTCGTTTTTTCAACCGTGATAAAAATTCTTGTTGTGGATCAACACGTAATGTACGTCCATGTAAATGATCATCATTACGACGTACAACTCGTTCACCAAATGTTCTTACACTAGCACTACATAATTCACTAGATAAACAATATTATGAAAATCATTTTTCCAGGTTTCAATAGAAACTTACTGTGTACATGTCCATGACATTGAACCATCGAGATTATCACGTCGATGTTTATATCTATGGCCATCAAGTAAAATACATGGTTTACCTTTTTGTGTTGTTTTAAGAACAAATGTTGGTGATAAGGCTGTATTAGAATTATCATTGGTTGATATTGTTCCTTCACTTTTAATACTTGAATTTAATAATAATGACGACGATAATGAAAGATTTGTTTCATCATTGGATACATCATGTTCTTGTTTTATTGATGTATCATATTCTTTTTTTATTGATGAATCATTAATAATTGGCTTTTGACTCGATGCTAGTTCAGCAAGAACATCGAGCCTTAAAAAAAAGGAAACGAAAAATATATATATTTGATATGAAATAATTTAAATATATCTTTTTTCCCTCACTTATTCATATTAACTATTTTATTATAATCTTACACAAGATAGCTAGTATATGTGTAAATGTATATGTACGTACGTAAAATAAAAGAAAAACTAAGAATGATCTCTTCTCTTATGCGGTATGTCTATATATGTGCTTCGAGAATAAAACAATCTATACACCGTATCGTGCATTTATACAATAATAAACCCATGTGCGTTCCGAAAACAATAATAACATATACACATGATACACATGTAAATGTTAAGAGAGGATACAAAAACAGAATATATCAAGGGATCAACAATTGGGGAAAATATTCATACTTGCTAAAATAGTTTGGATTTAAATTTTCATTAGTTTGTTCTTCTATCATGATGTTCACCAGGACAATTCTAGAATAAAAGAATCAATGTACAAATGTGTCTGCTATATCATTAAACAGAGTGTCTACTTCCTTCTCTCTCTCTCTCTCTCTCTCTCTCTCTCTCTGTGTGTGTGTTTCTCTTTTTCTCTATTCCCATTACTGCGTTACGTATGCTTGGGCAAATGCATTCGTTCTTCTCCTTTTTCTCTCTCGCCGTTGTCGTCTACAAGAACAGGGAAAACACGGCGGCAGATGGTCAGCACGCGTTCGCCTCTGTCCATTCATTCTAGAGAGGTGGCACGCACGCACGCTCAGTGCACATTGATAGGACAAAGGGAACAAAAAAAAACGAGAGAGACGTTAATTTAAGATACACATATAAAAAAAGAAATGATGAGAAACTTGCACAGACGGGAAACGGCAGCGCGCATTATATGCCCGGACGTTGACCTTCGTCGTCTATAGGAAAAATGCGACGCGTGTCTCATCTTGACGTGTGTTCTGTGTTGTTCCGAGTGAACCTTCTGCTGACCATAAATTAAAAAATAATAATTTCACTTGACACTCAGACGATGAAGGAAAAAGAAAGAAAGAAGACAATAGGAAATGTGCTTGGACTCTCATTTCTTCTTTACATTGCGGTATTCTATCGCTTTGAACAGAATGATGTGTGAGACAGGTGTCCACCTGTTTCGCGAAATAAAATCCAATGCATATTCCCAATAATATTGATGTGATCAAGTTCTTTATTTGAGAATAATTGTTGAACAGACAATAGCTATAGATCATTTTGAAAGAAAAACAAGTTTACTGACAGGTTTCGTTGTCAAATGTATACATTTCACTTGTTTCGAAGAAGCTTTCAAGTGGACATGCATGTTTCATGCTTTAATATTAGCATATGTTCAAAGAAAATAATTCATATGTCAATTGATTAATAGACAACTATTATTTTTGCGAAATGAACGTCAATAGAGTTGTTAATGATATTATTAGTTTGCTATCTTTTATTTATCACCGGATTTATTTTGTTAACAAATTTTTGTTTTGGCTTTTGTCAAGAAATACGGAAAAAGAATGATTTAGTATTTGTGTAGAGAAGTAAAAGAAAACAAAAGAACATCATATAGGAAAACAATAAATAAATGGACGAAATAAAATGTATGGAAAAATGAAATTTGTTTTGTTCATACTATCAATGTGAACGTTTTAGCCATCTTTGACGAAAGGAAACTCCCTCACGCATACGACGTCGTAATTCATCAGGATCAAGTTGACTGCGAGCAAAATTTAAAAATACTTGTTCTAGTGTAGTTTGACTAACTGTATAATTTTCAATTGAATGTGTTTCTTTACATGCTTCAATAATACGAAAGAGTTGTGCTAATGATACATCGGCTTGATCAATATGAATATGCACAAAACCTTCGTAAGCTTCTTTTAATTCACTATTTGCAAATGCATTTTTAATAATTGAATAGAATTCATCGACACGAGTTTGATTAAATTCTTTTAATTTCGCCATAATCGTGTATCCTAAACGAACAAAGGTAAAAAAAGACAGATATCAAGATAAGAAAAACATCATATTTTATATTAAATTATTTTTACCTTCACCAAACTTTGATTTTAAATGTTGAATACTTCCAAGGCATTTAAATTTTCCGTTGACCATAATTGCCAAACGTGTACATAATGCTTCACATTCTTCCATTGAATGACTTGTTAATATAATGGGTTTACCGTGATCACGAAATTGTGCAATAGCATTCCAAAAATGTCTTCGCGCTTTTGGATCCATGCCAGTTGTCGGTTCATCGAGAAAGACAATCGATGGGTCTCCAATAAGTGCAACTGCAGCGGATAATTTTCGTTTATTTCCTCCGCTATAAGCATAAACTGGTTTGTTTGCATGTTTTCGTAAATTCATTAGTTCAATTAGAGCCGCAACTATTTGAGGAATTTGATGTTCTTGTACACCACGTAAACGAGCAAACATATAAAGTGTTTCTTCACCAGTTAATAGATCAATTAAAGCATCAAATTGTGGACAATAACCCATTCGACGTTGTGCTACTCTCATATTTCCGCTTATATCAATGCCGTCGATTACAATTGAACCTTGATCGATTGTTTCATCGCCAGTAATCATTTTGAATGTTGTTGTTTTACCACTAAAATTTTCATAAACATTATCGTTTTTCTTAAAGAGTGCTTCCTTTTTTTTTTTTTTATTCTCTAATGTTTAATTCAAGAAAAACAAAAGAAAACTTGGGGCTTTTATCCATCAATTAATAATGAATGCATTTGATTTCAATAGAAGCACTTTAGAAAAATAAACATTTAAAATACAACCAATTAAAAAATAAAATCAGTTATATTTCTAATGTAAATAGGATACGATTAAAGTAGGAGATTACCTAATCAAAATGTAGGAGTCATATTTATAATTACTATGTAATAAGACCTTTGAATAAGGTCAACTCTTCTGATTTTTCAATGCGGAATTTCTAGAGTACATTAGATCGAGTTTTTCTCGAATTTCAACGATAATATAAAAACTTGCCATGACATTTTCGAATCGAAATTCGATAGATACGTTCGAGAAGATTTTAAAAACCGACATTATTTCCATTCTTCGATTAGTTTGTTGTACACATTCTTTAGGCAACCTTGGTAGGATTTTATAATAGTCAATTTATCATTGACTTCTAGTCATAGTCTAGAGCTAATTGAATTGAATAGTTTTTTGGTCTGCGTCTCAGTCAAGCGACGTCATTCATCACATTAAAAGTCATTTACGATTGAAAATTACAGTGTAAACGTATAATTACTAACAGAACTGTAAAAAGACAAAAGAAGAAAAAAAAGTCCACTTATGACACTTTACCAAGTCAAATTTACGCATGATCATGAAAACATCTGTACAATATTAGAGTTGAAAAGCTTTTCTTCTTCAATTAAACTTACGCTCCATTAACACCCAACAATCCGAAACATTCTCTTCTCTTCACTCCAACTGATAATTGATCCACAGCATGAAATCTCCCAGCGTAAAGTTTAGATATTTGATTCAATACAAGTACATCTGTTTGCATTAATTCATCATACGATGTATTTTGAATACGTTCAGCTTCAGCTTTCACATCAGCATCTTCAGTCGTAGGTGGAATTACAGCATTGTCTGACATTACAATAATTGATGAACCATTAGAATGATTTGTCGTATTTCTTCTATTATCATTTTCAAGATTAGAATAAGTTTTTCTATGAAATTTTGAGTAACGACAAATATTAAACCAAAACTTTGAGAATGTTTGATAAGTAATGAGTAGAAGAATTGTAAATAAAACAACTGATTGAATACCCATAAATGCTACGAAACGACCAACACCTGGCTTTTCCCAGCTCAAGTAATTTGGTGTCCAAGCGACACAATTCGAACCACAATTATCTTGAGCAAATGAAACCGTTAAAATAGAAGAAAAAGTAAAAAAGGAGAAAAACTTACTTTTGCAACATGGATTCGGAAAAAGATTACAGTATGGAAGGATAGGTGCACATAAATCATTTAGAACAGAATTCTGATAAATATTATTGATTCCTTGACCCAGACAAAAATTTGGAAACAAAATAAGAAATATCCATTCAAGAATATTGGCTAGCCCAAGCAAATCCAGTTGTGGAATGGAAAGAATCACAACAGCAAGAAGTGTTGCTTGACCTATGATAAAAAATATAAAAATTTCATTTTTGCAAAACAGATAGATTTCAATCGTTACTTGTTATTATATTGATAATTGTCAACCAAGCGAAACCACTAGCAGGAATTTGAAAAATAAATGAAAGTAGATACGTCATAGGAATATGTGAAAAACCATAAAAAATATACAATAGAATAGTATATCCGAATCGATCACCAGTTAGAAAAACTTTTAAATCGTCTTTAAGTGCATCTGTATGATAAAATATGGTCCAAAAAATAAATATGAAGATTGTAGCAATCATATAATAAACGAAATCCCAAATAAAAGTAGTCAACCAAAAATTAAGTCCGCCAGCTCCACTTAAAAATTGTAAATGTTTTGCTTTAGAAACTCTTTCTTTAATTAAAAATACAGAAAATGCTGCCATCATAAAACCAAAACCAAACACAATACTCGACGCCATACGAAAACCAAAAAATTGCTGAGATTGAAAATCAACTACAGTTTCTGTTAATGAACGTGGAAACTAAAAGTAAAGAATTAAGATTTCTCACTGATTACGTTCTAAAACATGATCTGAAAAGAATCTCCTGCTAATTGAGCAACTAAAGCATTAGACAGATGGTGCTAACAGGAGATTTTATTTTTATTTACCGGATGATTAATAACTGTGATTGTTCTATTTATCTCTGATGTTGACGAGTATTGTTTCAATAATGCATTTGTTAAATAGTTTAAAGTTAACGGTGATATGTGATATGGTTGATTGTTAAATAGCCCAGTTAGATTTAATGATTCCCTAGATGTATCTACTTTAACATTTGCTCCAATTAAATATTGATCCGATAATTCAAGTAAACTACGTTGACCGATACAAGATAAATATAATATAAGATCAGTTGGTTTTCCATCTTGACATGGTCGAGTGTTATTTGTTGTTAAATCTATTAATGCTGCTATTTTAGTTGATTGCTTAAGAGCATATTCATAGGAACGAATAAAATCCAATGATGCCGTATCGTTTCGATCATATGTATAAGGTACATTCGTTTTTATATACCGATTGAATGACATGAGTAATGGTGGACTATCTTCTGGTTTCGGTATTTGTTGTTCTATAACTAATGATATAATCACAAATACGATGGGTAAAGCACAAGCAAATGCTACAAGATAATTTCGTTTTGAATTCAGCATACGCTTGAGTAATAAAGCATAGAATTGTTGAAATGATAAAGCAAAACCAGTATTTTTTACTATTGCTGTATCAAAAATACCTAGAAAAATGAAAATTATAGTATTGAATTGTACAATTGTAAATTAAATCTATTCAATAATAAGAAGAAGGAGAAGGAGAAGAGCGATAATTGATCATTTTTTTCTATATGACAATACTGAAATTTCTGTTTTACTTAAGTTCCTCTTGGGAGAGTTAGTTTTCGTATGTGCTGTACTTTGAAAATTAACAGTTAATCCATTTAAAGCTGCATGATCATTAATTTCTTCATAATTTTCCAGATTATTGCTATTTAAAGGACCATTCGTTGTTGTTCTAATTTTATCGGGTTCATCTTCTTCAACACTAAGTCAAATATTGAAATAAAAATTAATAAATAAAAAAACCTTAAATTTTATTTTTCTTACATTTTCATGAATACTTCTTCAATCGATGTTTCGGATAATCCAATGCTGAAAATTTCTAATGCATCTTTATTTTTTTCTAACTCTTCAAATAAAATAGGGAATTTAGCTGATGATGCATGTGGTAATAATATTTTGCATTCAGCACTTATTGCTGACTCTAATTTTGCTTCTTGTACATATGTTTGTATCATTCGAAAGATTTGATTTGTATCAGCAGTTTCACTTTTAGACAATACTAAATGATAGCCAACGCCTGAAAAGAAAATGTTCAAATTAATTTTTTTGATCAGTCAAAGTGAAAATCTGCAAATGGAAAAATAAATTGATTGATATGATGTAGATTTATTTTGACTGTAATTTGATTTTAGTTTAATAGGAAAAGTTTTGAAGGAAAAGAGTTAGCCGCTCTGTTTTCTGGAATTTTCACTGCTGTAATGAATTTTTTTTGTGGCGTCAAAATATTGATGAAGACATCCAATGATTGAACGTCGATCACAACATTTCTGTTTTCACATAAGATGAGTAATGGTTCTGACTAAATGCTTTCTTAAGCAGATGATATAAACTATCGTGATTTTTAAAGAACTATTACGCATCGATTGTAATAATAATTATTGAACGTGCTGTTCATCAATAGTTACTTTAGATGATAAAATCTGATAATAGTAGCAAGCATTTTTTTAAAAGGGACTAAACAATCTGTGTTGTTCCAGGCTTCTGCCAGTTAATCTAACATCTAATTCTCGACGAAAAATAGATTAGTTCGGTGCTTTTTCTTCATACATATTGGCTGACAACAAATGTTTTTTTCTCTCTCAATAGAATCTTAGAAATACTACTGAAAGATATGAAATAATCAATTGCTTTCTCTGATTATCAATCAGAGTATGTATGTTTCTTTTTTTTTTATATACCGTATGACGTTTTTAAGAAAAATGGTGAACCAAAACAACGAATACGACCATCACCCATAATTGCAATCTAAAAATAGATTGATTAAATCTTTTATTTGAATGAAATTTCTACATACTCGATCACCCAACACATCAGCTTCATCCATAAAATGAGTAGTAAATAATATGGTTCGATCCAAACGAAAACGTTGAAGCATATCCCAAGTTGATCGACGAGCTGCTGGATCCATTCCTGTTGGTAGATTTTAAAAAAGTACATACTTTGAAAATAATAATCATCAAAGTTCTTACCGCTCGTAGGTTCATCCAAAATAACTACTTTCGAATTTGCAATTAATGCAATACCAACACTCAATTTACGTTTCATTCCTGATAATAAAACAACAAAAATCCAATCAATCGCAATTCAATAAAAGAAAAATAGAAATATCAATCATCTTTGTCTAATATCTTACCACCAGATAATGCGCTTGATAGTACATTTAATTTATCGTTTAGAAGTAAAACATTAACCATTTCATTGATTTCACGATCAACATCATGAGATGGATGTCCTTTAAGCTAGGTTTAGAAAAATACGAAAAAAACAAAAAAACATTTCTATTCAAAGATTACACCATTTCATATACTTACAATTGCAAATAATCTGAGATGTTCTCGTACAGTAAGATGATCAAAAAGAATATTATATTGCGGACATAAACCGAGTATATTACGAACGCTATCCATTGATGTTGCAATATCAAAACCATTAACAATGATTTTACCGCTTGTTGGTGGTATTAAACCTTTAGATAAAATATTTTATATATTTCTCGTTAACCCTCTTCTTTAAAAAAAGAAATTAATCTACCAGTAATCATAGAGATAGTTGTACTCTTTCCTAAAAAAAAGAAAAACAAATTTTAGTTAAAACTATTTTACTGCTTCAAATTCAAGCAATTAATTTTACCAGCTCCATTGTGACCAAGTAGTGCTGTCAATTGACCACGGTATATGTTCATACTGAGATTACTTACGGCATGAACCGGCGGACGGCTACCCAAAAGAAATGAGTATGTCTAGAAACAAGAAAATACAATTTAATTAATCATTCAGATTGATGATTTTTGTTAATTTTTTAACCTTAGAAACATTGACAAGTCGAACGCCTAATTCTTTATCGGTAGGTTCGTTTTCAAAAGCTGTGGAATCCACTGAATTTCTTTCATTCGGGTCATCGAATGTATTATTTGCATTAACAACGGGTCCCTGTGTATATCCTCGCCAATAGCTCAATCGAAATGGATAAAGAAAATTCCTAGAAATATTTTATGTATCAATTATTATTTCATTTTTGTTTATACTTCGGAATTCCATATTGTCCAGGCCATATATTTTCAATGTATAAAGCCAAAATGAGATAGATAAATGCATCAATATACAACATCATAATTACATCGGCCATAGTAAAATTATCATCTACTGATACAGCTTCATTAAACATTGACCATTGAAGACCGGTGCCTAAATTAATAATAAAATTCTTTTTCAAATTTATTCCATAGGAAATGCAATACCTTTTCCTTCAAACATGCCGATGAGTTGAGCTCCAAGTGCTAAACCAATATTATGCAATAGACAGGTGCCTAATTTAGCTGCTCTTGTTAATGTTTCATAGCGAGGTTGAATGAATGCATATGGTAAATAAGAAAGAAACCATAGACCACCAGTACCAGCAGCAGAACTGTTTGCTAGCAAGAAAATAAAAATATCAGAAAGATATTTGTATTTTTAAGAAAAAGTACGATTCAACGTGTTTCCTTACCTTTATCGAACAGCGTACTGATTAAAAACATAAAACATATTGATGTAATTGAATAGGAAAATAGAAAAAAGAAAACTAAAGTTATATCCGATTCTCCAATCACTGAACTTGAACCACCAGATTTTAACGGAACTTTAACAATATAACATACAGCGATAAGTATATCAGCTATGGTTAAAAATGCAAGTGATCGAGTAAACCATGATAGCCAATGAATCCAACTATTGAGACCCATTATAGTCATAGCAATCTAAAAATTTTGATAGAAAAATATGTATTTATTTTAGTTTTAATATACATATACGTATATCTACAAACCTTTAAGCCATTTTCTTTTTCATAAACAATATTTTTAACTGTATTAATAGCCGCAAATATATACGACATAACAAGAAGAAACGGAAACCAAACTTGAATGACAAGTACAAAGTTATCTTCTTTATAAGGTGGAAATGGATAACGTTGAAGGCCTATATTAATCATCGATGCATTAAATGTTGAATTCAATTCATTAATAATTTCCATGTCAATAGCTCGTTGTAATGAAAGAAAACCTATCATGACAAACAAAAAACAATAATCACTTAGCGAAAGAATGATTATTAATTGACTTACCCTCTTGATAGTAACCTAAATAAAATAAAGTGAAATCAAGATATTTAAAAAACTAGCATTCAAGTTTTTGTTTTCAACTGACCAGGTGTTCCTCCTGTATTATTACGAGAATTTCGTGGTCCAACAATTGGAAATATAGGATAGAGTAAATTTGTTCGCCAACTATTTTCACCATTAAACATATTTCTAAAATAAAAAGTCAAAATAATACGTGGATTGATCCGTAAGAAATTTATCAAATATACGCTCGTCCAGCATTTCTTAATTTAGCCGCAAGTCGAATTTTATATGTTATATTTGATCCCAAAGATAAATTTGTAAATACTATACCACCAAGAAAGGGTGAATCGGGCATTTTTGAATTAACTTCTGCAACAAGCGCACTTTCATTTCCATAGCCTTCCGCTGAAAAAAAAGCAATTTCAACTAGAATATATTATATATTATGTAGTTTTAAATAGCTTACAAAATAAGCCAAGACTAGTAGCTGCTCTTTTCATGACTGCGTCAGTAAAATTTGTTTGTGGTGTATAAGCAATGAGTGAGATAAACGAGTCTGGAAATGGTGGTAATTGATCAACAGAAAACGTTTCGTAACTTGTAACATTTCTATGTGTTTCTGAATTAACAACATGTCGTATAGCAAGTAGGAGAAATCCGAAAAATACTGGTAATGCTATTTCAAGAGCTGTCCGTATTGGCGAGCGTCTTGCAAGAATAAGATTCTTCCATATGAGAAGTAAATAATGACGACCGAAACGTCGAAATCCTTTATTTTCATTGCCATTCGCCATATCTAGAAATAAATAAAAATATATAGATTCATTAAAGATTCAATATAGAATAATTAATGAAATCACTCAACGTTTTGATGATGTAGGTAGTGGTTGAGAAGGTAGACCAGAATTATGATGCACACGGGAACGAAGAGCAAACTCAGTCATTGTGTTTTATCAGAGAAAAAGCTGACAGAAGATGTGTATGTGTGTATGTATTCTTACATCACAATAAGATAAGTTATCACTGACGACAAAGCAAAAATATAAAGACGTACGTTAACATTCTCATTCGAACTTTTAGAATTTAAATTCTACTTACTCTTTACTGCTTTTTGACAGTTAATATCGTGAATTTTCGGTGCCATGAGAAAAACAAGATGACTTGATCTATATTGAATAATTTATGAAGCGAAAAAGGACTCATTTTTTATGGGACATAAACGTATACGGTTTATGCATATTTACTCTAGATAAGGTTTTCTAATGAAAGTATCATGCAATAGAGAAAAATACTAGTCTTTACAGACAATTTCAATATTTGTTAATGACAGATAAGAACATGTATCGTATTTGTTTTTTATATAAATTCAACTCAACTAATGTCGAGTCATTCTTCGTTGTTTCTTTTATGAGGTACAAAAAAACAATGATATCAATATTTTTCTCTTGTTGTCTTATTTTCCTACGTTCTTGTCTATATACAATACGATTAGCAAATATCATAGCAAAAAAAGACTGGCAAATCTTTCACATAAAGTTCAAAAATAGTAACGATCAGTTCTTATTTCTTCTGTTTGGGCTTCATTTCTTCAAAACATTGCCGAAAGTAGATTGCATTCTTTTTTGTTTGTACATTGCCTTCATGACCTTTGTGCCAATCGTATGAACTTGCATAGGCAAATAATTGTCCACGACTATCAAACGTGCAACATGTTATTGCTTGATCATTGATAACATCACTTGTTTTTAATTTTGTTCGATCATCTTTATCCCAGAAACTATATCGACCATCACTACCAACTGTAGATAATGTACCATGCACAGGATGAAAAGCAATATCATTAACAGCAAATATATCTTGGGTATTCGTTGGCGGTTGAGGAGTTGAACGATGACATTTAAATGTAAAATTGTCCACACTTGGATTTGTTGTATCAACATACATTATAGCAACACGACCTTCTATTGAACCAACAGCAAATCCATTTGGATTTTTTGATTTATCTGTGAAAATTGATACACAGCGATGTTGATATTTTAGTAATGATTCGATCTTTTTGTATTCAGTTGGACCTTGATCAAGTGAATAAACTTGTATTGCTCGATCAGCTGTTGTTATAACAGCCATTGGGCCACAGACATCAGCAGCATAAACGCGTTCATTGAGTGTTAATTGTTTTAATGGCGTTGCTTGACGTGTATCCCAAAATTTAACTGAAATAAAATAAAGAAAACAAATATTTCAAATGCTTATTCTCAAAAAGAAAGACAAATTTCTACCAGTTCGATCCCAACTTCCAGTCATCACACATGTATAGGATGGTCGTTGAATATAATGAATAGTTCTAATAGGTTGATCGTGTGCAGCTATTTGAACAAATGTATTTGCTTGTAAATCCCACATTTTAGCTGTTTTATCACAACTGGCTGTAAATACTTTTGAACCATCGTCGGACCAACAACAACTTAATATGGGTGCATCATGTTTTTGTATTGCTTTCGCTACTGTTTGTCCATTGGATTGTATTTCCCAGCAGCGTATATCATTTGCCCATGAACTTGCAATCAAATATGTTTGTGGAAGTGCTATTGGAGAAAATTTCATACATGATATTGCATCATCTGGTGGTTGCACTACTTCCAAATCTTTTTGATTTGATCCTAATGTGTTGGTTGCTGTTGTGTTATTTGAAAGACCAAATAGAGTAGTCATTATTATGATTTTTATTTCAATCTAAAAATGAGAATAGAATAGTTATGCAAAATCTTTTCCATATGAATAATGCATGATTTGATATATGAATTTCTTTTGCAATTATATTTCCATTGAGGTTATCTGCTTAGATGTTTCTTTGTAATTTAGAAAAATTCATGAATTAAAATTACTACATAATAGAATAATGAAGATGATAGAAAGCTATTGAATATGTTTCTGTAGATTTTCATTACAGATTCTCTAAAGAATTCCACTGTGCCTTCGGAAAAGTTCTGTTTTGTTTTACTTTACTTTATTTTGAAATTACCTATGTCACATGATTTCATATCCGGTGGCACATATGAAAGGTTTTCAATGTTTAAAACCTTTGCTATGAGTCTTTGAAAATATTCTTGTCATACATATGTGTTACGCTTTAAAAAGCATCTGTTTCGGAAAGATTTATTTTTTCGAACATGTTAAGTCTCATGGCGTTGGTGATTCACCACGCATATGAAACCTTGAAATGAATGTTGTTTCAAAAAGAGTTGAAGTAATATGGTTTTACTTAAGACTATGAAGTTGTGTAAGAAGTGTGTCTTTAGTAAATAAATGAAATTAAAAAAAAACTCAATATCTCTGCCATGGCTCAATAGAAACTAAAATTATTTTAAGGTCTACAAAAGAATACAATGTAGCAGAAGTATTGTTATGTAAAAAAGAGTTGTGACAATCGGCGAAAAAAATTCAGAGAGATTTTCTCTCACGTCTCATTGTTGATTACATTTTGAGTATGATCTAGAAAAATTCAATAAAGATTACTTTTTATTTTATATTTGTAAGGTTATAAAAGAAAGCAAAACTTCTATTGTTCAAACCTATTCCAGGTCAGAAAATCTGACAGTAAGTCTTGTACGATCATATGACATCGTACAAAAAATCGTAGTCTCTGAAATCTTACATCAATTCTTACTGTAAGATTCCTGCCAGATACTACCGTCGCATAAAATTTTCTATAACCTTACAGTAAGATTTGTCAAGAATCTTACAATAAGAATTGATGTAAGATTTCAGAGACTACGATTTTTTGTACGATTTGGTATGAATCGTACAAGATCACATATGACCATGCGCAGAATCTTGTCCGATTGTTCGCCCTGGGTATCTTAATTGTCGCATTCTTATGTATATAGTTGAAGCTCTCTTCCTACTGTAACACTGACCTGAGAAGATTTAAAAGAATTTGTTAATGTTTTCTTCAAAACTTTCTCAAACATTTGAAAATGACTACATTTATTTAAATGACAGATTGAGCGATAATCATAAACTTTTAAAGTGAGAACTGCTTTAGCACTATTGAAATTATTTATACCAGAAACTGTTTTATTTACATTGTCTAACATAATACTTATAAGGGCGCACGAAATTCAATACATTTATTTTTAACAAAGCAGTTACAACAAAATCGGATTTTTTTTATAAATTTAATCGTCTGGGACAGACTATCATATCTATTCTGTTATTATACTCCTATGTTATTCAAACAAATAGTAAACTAAATATACCCATACTTAGAGGTGTAAGCCGAGCGGCCGCCGCCGATGGACGAAAAACTTTTTAATTTTCGAGCTGTCGCCGCTGACCGAGGCGTCCGCTTACACCTCTACCCATACTTATTGCTTCTATTTTACCTATTCACACTACTTAATTTATAACGAAGATTGTCTAGAAACTTACTTAAATAGATCAAATCTAATCGATCTTTATACGTCGCTGTTTATCTATTCCAAATCACATCAAATAAGTTGGTATTGTTAACCAACAGTTAAAAATTTGTTTAATTTTACAATCGAGTTCATAATAAATAAAATATTCCATGTCCAATGTATACCTCATATGAACTATTCATAAATGGAATATATATATATATATATATATGTTCGATTTTGTATGCTAAATCATTATCTACATTAGTAAAAATTTTAGTTCATGAAAAAATGTGTCGAAAGATCATCTTTAATTAAAACAAAAACGCTAAGTATTCGACATTTTAATAACTTTACAAATTATCATAAGAAAAAAAATGCAATGTTAGCTTGCATGTTTAAACAAAATAGATGTTAACTAAAGATCTTAAAGAAAAAAGAAGTATACAATGAAAAAAAAGACGGGATAATCTATCTCATTAGTTGTCGTTTTCCCTTGTTTATTTTATACATTGCGAATATAATATGGCCGATATTGTGTTTGTTTTTCGTTCTTTTACATTCACACATAGAAAAAAATATATACAAAGACAAACGAAATTATGATCAAAGAAATAAAGAGGTAAGGCTTTGTATATACAAAAAGAAAAAGAAGAAAAAATCAAACATACACTGTGAAATTAATAAACAAGAGATTTCTATTTGCGTAGATGTTTTTCTATACACAGCTAGATGGATTTGTTGGATTTTTTACTTCACACAACTGTGAAATACTGATGTCACATTGGGATACACCGGCACCTGCTCGACAGATATTGATACTGGCTACTGCTGTCCACCTAAGCGAATGAGAAAAATATTAACAAAAATAAAATTCAAGAAAAATGTATAATAAACTAACTGTTGATTTTCAGTATCATAAGCTTCAACTGTTTTTAAATATGTTGAACCATCATGGCCGCCAACAGAATAGATACGACCACCTGATATATATCGATAAGAAAAAGATCAATATGATCAAAAATAATAGTAAATAAATTCATTTACCCAAAGTAGCCGAACCAACACCACCACGGCATGATGTCATATTCGGCACCATAGTCCAAAGATTTGTATCAGGATCAAAACATTCAACAGAATCAAGCGGTGAATTGTCATCAAAACCACCTGAAATTAAAATTAACCAATAGAATAAACAAAGACAAGTTCCTAGGACAATCTCTGTGAAATTACAATATCGAATAATGATGAAGCTACTATTGCTAATCACGAGAGAACTGTTTTATTATATTGATTTGATAACAGGTTTCTTCAGCATCGCTTTTAATTACGCCTAAGAAAATAAAATACGATACGACTTGCAAATCTATAGGAAACGAAGACAAAACAAGTGATACCGGATTCAGATCAGTCATTAAGAATCTTTCCTGTATCTGCTATCGGATGTATTTAGTATTTCACTAAGCTTTATTAAAAGCTAAACATATCAAGTATCACTATTCATAGATGATACCTAATTAGTCTAGTATCACATTTTATTTCAAACTCGATTCCATCTCAAACATTAACAATAACTATCATCCTTGAGAACTCGCATTTATAAACTATGTTCAGTGAAATATTTTCATTTTGTTCTTACCAAGTATAAACAGTCTATTATTGAGTACAGTTACAGATGCACCTGCTCTTCGTTTATTCATTGGAGCAATCGGTGTCCATTTGTCATACGATGGACAATATCGCTCACATGAATTCAGTGATGAACTACCGTCATTACCCCCACAAGCATATAGATAGCCCTAGAAAATAATTTTCATATGTCAAACTAATGAATTCAATTGTTTTCTACTTTAAGTGCCGCTACTGCTACACCACCACGTGCTGTGGACATAGATGCTACTGTACTCCATGTATTATGTTCAATATCATATCGTTCAACAGTATCAAAACATGTCGAGTCATCAAGTCCGCCAACAGCATATAATGGACCACCAAGACAACCAACAGCAATACCACGACTAAATAAAACAAAACAATAACAAACAAATTAAAAAAAATATATATATATATATATATATATTACCGCCATGTATTCATTGGAGCAAGAGGTTCCCATCGATTTGTTTGTGGATCAAATACTTCAGCACTATTTAAATGAACATTTCCATCATGTCCACCAATGGCATAAACGCGACCGTTTACAGCACACACACCAACATGACGTCTTCGTGTTGTCATTTCCGCTATATAAAACCACCGATCATGTCTTAAATCATAACATTCCACCTACAAATCGATATTATAAAGTTTATATATTATTTTTAATTTAAATCAATACCGATTTAAATGGATCACCTGTAGCACCACGACCACCCACACATAATAAAACACCTATTAGATTTAAAAAACAACATTTTTCCTGCATAAATTTCTTTATATTAAATATTTACCTGCAGCTGTTTTTCTTGGAATGATTTTTGGTCCCATCGGAGATTTCGTTGTTAGAAGATTAGCTTTTTTAAAAATATAAACTTTGGCTTCATCAAGTAAATCTCTACATGTTAAACTAGTTTTAATTAATTCTTCTTGTGCAATCACAGTTAATAAATATTCAGTATTAATTAATGGCAATTTAACTTCATGTAATAAATCTTAAAACAAACGATATTTTTTTCAAGTTTTCATTATTTTTTCAAATATTCTCTTTTCCATACCAGCAAGATGAACTGCTCGCTCTCTTGAATCATGTTTAACCCATCTAATAACAGCATCATAAACATCTTTTTCGTCCAAAATACCTAAATCTGGTGATGCAATAAGTTCCTTAACAAAAGAAAGAAACGTATTTACAAAGAAAACAAATGTTTCTAAATATACTTTAAGATGTTTATAGGAAATTTTATAAAAATCATCAAGTTGAATTATTTCTAAAAAATGATCACGAATATATTCATCAGCTAAATCAATTAATGATTTTCGATTAAGTAATTCAGCATATTGACGAATTTCTGTACAATTCGATAATGATAAATGTTGTCGTAAAAAACTTGAACATGCTTCAGCTAAATCTTCTGTTTGTAAAACTGTTGATGCAAATAATAAATGCTGTACATTATCAATTGTTATTATTGCTTTAGCCGTATATGCAAATTCAATAATCGTTTTTAATGAATTACGATTGATATCCTGAATTTCAATACGACGTTTATCAGCTTCAAGCATTCCTAGTGTAAACATGGAACGAAAATATGGAATTGTTGCAGCAAGGACAACTTTATGGCATAAAAATGTTTGATCATCACAAACTATTTCAACATCACATAAAATTTGATCTTGATAAAATTCAAATAATGTATGAAACGCATTACTTAAAAATATAAAATAAATATAAATATTAGTGTTGCTATCTATCTTGTTTTATCCTGTAAGTACCTGTGTTTAGTAAATGATACTTCAAATGCTTGTTGATCATCAATCTCCATATTTTGTAACTGTTGTTGCTGTTGTTGTTCTCGTAATGACTCAACTAAATAAATAGAAAAAAAGAAATAAATAACGATAATAAAAAGAAAATGAATTTCGAAATATACGTTGTTTTGCATTGTTTATAGCTTGTCGTTGAGAAAGCAAACGATTAACTGGAACGAAATCTGATGAATCAACATTGATATCATCATTGCGAATTGTACTAGTTGATGGTGTCAATGATGTTGTGTTTGTTGTTGATGATGATGCAGCTGCAGCTGTTGGATTTAATGTTGATAAAAGATCAACGATATTATTGTTATTAGCAGTGCCAGGCGGTGTTTCTCCGGACATTTCAGATACTAATTAACGACATATATCTTGAAAAAGAAATAAAATAAATGTTTCCTGTTATATTTTAAGATAATCTAATTTATAATTAAAAATATAAAAAGCTCTTTTCCATTAAAAAAAGCATTCATATTGTCTTGCGTAATACTTTCTGGTTGCAAAAGGTAGATTGAAATAAATTTTCTATAAATATTTAAATTGTTTGTACACAAAGGTATACAATCTTTAACTAGTTAAAAATCTGAGCAATGATACAGTGATTTCATTTTCATTCATAAAAGTATAAAAGTTCTCATCGACCAATTTAAGAAAAATTTGATTTAATACATGACCAATAACTATCTTCAGTCAGTTGACTTTCTTTTATTATTTTTTTTAAATGTATGCATGTGCATGATCCATCTATACTTTTTTTTTCTTAGCTCAAATGGACAAGAAACGCATATATATAAATTTAAGACAACAGAGGTCGACACTTGATGGAGTAAAGACACAGTTTTTCAATTTAAGTAAAAAGCGTCATTTACGTTTTGATGATAGATTTTTCAACTAAATTCCAATATTGATCAATTTTTCCTTCATACTTATCAAAATCAACCTCTTTTGCAGCTTCATCAAATGTACGCATTCGAAGACTACATTCAAATTGAGGATGCGAACGATATTTCTCTGCTTCATCATTCATCATCGGTCCACCCTGATAAATGAGTGTTTGCTTCGATGCATCCGAAAGACGATTATAGTAATCTTTATCAATGTGAGTTAAATATCGTTTAGCATTTACATGATTTGCAACAAGATAACATATACGTTCAGACAAGCCAACCTGCGTACGAAGATATTCAGCACCAATATGTTCATGTTGTAGTACACCCAACTCACCCATGAAGTCTTCCTTTTTTGTACCTAATAAATGACCAACATCATGAAGAAATGCAGCTACAATCAATTCACTATCGTTTGGATCATAATGTTCCGCAAAATAAGCTGCTTGTAGGGCATGCTCGTACTGAGTTACAGCCTCACCGTAGTAGGCGTTTTCACCATGTTTCTCATATAAAGATCGAAGTTTCTCCATTTCTTATCGTATTACGATGAATAAAAAATACAGGCGCACAGAGACACATATTTATATAAATTTAGACAATCACAGAGATAAAATGACGAAGAAGAGAAAAAAACAGATGAAGTCAATATTTAAATGGTTAGAATCAAGAAAAAAATAATAAAGTAAGATTTCTTTATCGTCTTGTATGGTTTTCGACAAGACAAATATGAAGGAAGTTATCGGGATGTGAAAAATATTCACTTAGCCATTGTACTGGTGTATTAAGAGGTGGTTCTACACCATGAATAATAACACGATAATCTTCGACATTATTGTTTGTAATTTTCTTTTCATTCGATGATTTTTCACATTTTACTTCATGATCTAATGAATATTGTAATAAATCAAACAGTGTTAGCCATTTATTATGTTCAACGTCATAGGGTGAAAATAATTTTTGTATAAATGGTTTATCTAAGATATAAATTCGAAATGGTATATAACGAAAATATTTTAAGTTCTCTGTATAAGCCATTAATTTCATATTTATATTCCAAAAACCTTCATATTTATCTTGTAATAACGAATTCCACAATTGTTTATGATCACGTTTTTGCATGTCGCCGATAATTTGACCTTTATGTTTAAGTGCATCGGCTTCTTTTAGTGTGGTCATATAATGTGATTCAATACATTCAATATCTGGAAAACGAATCAATTCGCTTTCAGGAAATTTACTCAAATGAACTATTATTTGCCATGGTAGATGAGACGATGATGTTGATAATGATGATGTATACAAATCATATAGAACACCGATTGGATAATGCCATTTGAGCGGAATACTTTCATATTCAAACCATAAATTATTAAGATTTATATTATTAGTTGGATCATTTAAATTCCCTTTGAAATAATTTGAATAATAACGAGAAATTTTCTCGACAATACATGGAAAATAGATATGACGAGTGAGCATTAAATAAAGTGGTTCTGGTGATTCAGAACGATTTACTTTCGTTGTATCTTCATCGGACAATATAAAACGTACTGGTAAACGTGATTGCCACAATTCACGTGTAATTTCTTTATCATCTATTTGTGGGATACTCATCTAAAATGAAATCAAATATCTTTTGTATCTATTCTATAGTGAATTCTATATTCTTTTTTTTTATTTTGAAAGCTGTATCAATTCAATATCTAAATCAATCAAATGTCAATTTTGAGTCATTGTCATGTAATAACTTTATGTTTGAAGGAACAATATGACTGCTATAATTAGTTAATGATTGATTAGTTTTTGTTGTAGTTTTCATTACAATGTTATGGTTTTGTTTGTTTGTAGACTTCTTCATATCAACCAATTAATAAGGACATCAGTATTCTATAAACATATGATGTATCCATAGACATAATTAGCTAAACAATATTAACAAGACTAAACTTCTACAAAACATTAGATGAAAGAAATTATTTGATGTATAGAATTGTAAATAAACAAACGATTATTATTTCTTCTCTAACAATATAAAAAATTTTCACATAAAATAACGTCAAGTTAGTTTTCTATTTGACACTATTAATCTTTCTAAAAACATATTTGTATTATTCCCAATTAAAGTCGATTGCATACGACGACTTCAAGAAGGCTACGTTGTCATCATTGTTCGATTTATTATGAAAATCGAAGGTCATAAGTTCGGTTGTAAATGATATATTTCAATCATGTCATTTTACCTCTTCCATATTTTGTAAAGAATAGAATAATATTTGTAGTATTGATCGATGTTGCCTAATGCATACATTCGATAAATCATTTTTCGAAAATGCATTAATAATGATCATATCATGTTGATAATAAATATGTTCATATCTAAAATGCGAAAGAACAACAAAGCTGTACTTTCTTCTACACCACATTTCAATAAATCAATCATTGAAAAAAAAACATATATGACATTAATGTATGCTTTAAAAGGTGTTTAAGTTCTCAAAATACGATTTCTTTTTCTCTCTCTCTCTCTCTCTCTCTTAATTTTCAAAGCACCATAACAATAGATCTTAATTTCCTAATTTGTGTTTGTTACGAGTTCATTAGCTTATTTTCTCAAAGGCATAAACACAACAAATCGAACACCTGAGTTATTTAACACGAAAAAAGGGATTGAAAAAACAAAAAAAAACAAATACATAAAGACCAAAAAAAAACACAGTATGAAAATAATCGCTCATTACACACACAACTTTTCAATGAGATAAAGAAAAGATTATGCTAATCTACAAAACGAGAAGGAAGAAACCTTTTTTTCGATTCACTGATTTAAGAATAAATTTTCAAAATTAAGATTTTTCTAATTCATTTTGTTCTTCTTTATTATTAATTGATGCTTTTTCAATACGCATTACCAATGGTGTATGTGTTTGTTCAATTTTTTCTTCAAGTTCTTCGGCAAATACAACAGGAATCCCTATGAAGTCAATAAGGAATAAAAACAAAAATAATTTTGATTTTTCATTGAAACCAAAATAAATTTACCTTTTGAAATAAATTGTTTTTGATCGTAATATTTATATTTCTTTTTATTTACATCATAGTGTTGTCTGTGTTTTCGATATGTATAACTTTGATATAAATGTTTATTATTGGGACTACCAGATGGTCCACTTGGTAAAAGTAACGTTGATGACGACGTTGAACGACGATGACAACAGAGACAACATGCAATGATAGCACAAATAAATAGACCAACAGCAATTATTGATAATGGTACAATAACAAGAGGTTGATAGAATTGTTTAAGAAGTATAAGATTATTAGGTGATGTTACTGTTCGATTATTATTTATTGAATTATCATCTAGTAATCTTGGTCTTATGGTTACTTCAACTCTTTTCATTTCAATCATTGGATTTATGATTATTGATGTTGTTGTTGTAGTAGTAGTAATAGTAGTAGTAGTAGTAGTTGCTGTTGTTGTTATTATCGTCGTTGTCGTTGTGGGTATTGTTGTTGTTGTCGTAATGGTAGTGGTAGTAGTAGTAATGTTAGTTGGTTTGTAAAATCGTATAATAGATATTTCAATTAATGGTAGAGAAAAAAATGGTAGCAATTCTAAACGCCTTGAATAATAACGATCAATGAGGGTTTTTAAGTGATATGTTATATTTGTTGAGAAATATAAATCGCATGAAAAATAAACTTTTATCATCGAGCCATTTATTTTATGTACGGTTATTAATGATTCACTTAAATTAAGTGCCAATGATAATGTTCGAATAACAAAATAACGATTTAATAATGAATTATTATAAGTTGTAGATGATAAATCGAACAGAGCAAGAAGAAGATGATTCGATGGATAGAATAAAGATGATGATGTAGTAAAATTAAAATTTAATTTTAATTCAATCAAATTGTTAAGATCTATTTTTATTTTACAAAAGAATTACAATTCAAAAAAAATAAAAAAAACAAATAGAAAATGTTTACCTGAATTTGAATAAGTATTATTTTGTTGAAATTGAATTAAAAATGGACCTGAATAATCTCCATACAATGGCAAAGCAAATATAGTTCCATTCTCAATAGCAAACCAAAGTTTATCTTGTGGTTCAATACTAATGACACGTGCATTGTTAATATTCAATGAACGTTGGTAAAGTTTACTATAATCAGCATTAGCTGTGAATTCCTAAATAGAAAAAGAAACGTTTTTTTTCTTTCAATGTCGCATATTATAATGTCAGTAAATTTTACTAATGCTGACGAAGCAAACGTGTGACGACGTTGTTGATTATCATAGTGATTGGCCTAGAAATTTAAAGGATAGAAAATAATTGAATATAAATACGTTTGCTTACCATTTCCGCTATTGACGGATATGAAATAAAGAATAAAAGGAGATTTTGAACTAACATGATTTAAGCTTTTATTCTATTTATGATCACCATTTTGGCCAACAACGTGCATCAACCATGATCATTGTATGTATTTGAGAAGTGATATATGTTGTAGACCTTTCTTTTCTTCTCTTTCTCTTTTTCTTCTTTTCTCTTTTTCTTCTTCTTCTTCGTTTTTTTTTTTATTCTATATGTGTACTACACTGCATATGCATTGACTTTATGGATAAATGTTCAGAAGAATGATAAATATGTTACTACTGTCGTTGCATTGTTATTATTAGCACGATTTTTTCTTCTTCTTTATTCGATGCATTCTCGTTTTCTAGTGTCTATTGTAGTAGTAGCTGTTGTTGTTGTTCGCGCTTGATTGTTATCATTTATTATTCGAGGAGAAAAGAGAGAATATCATTAATGGTAAGAAGAATTGCTCTTTTCTTTTTGTTCTTTCTGCTTTAGATTATCGACATTGTTAGCAGAATGAAAATGCTAAAAACAAAAGAAGAAGAAGAAAGAAAAGAATAATGAGTCAAACGAACAGAATGGAAATGGTGATCGAGCGGTCAGTCAGATGGGGATCAAGATAAAGAATAGGAGAGCGGGGAGTGACCCGGCGTGGTCTCGTGAATGTTAACTTGGTAAGACGGAAGAGAGAAAAGGCATAGAGCGATTTGATGAATGCTTATATATATATGAACTACATCACTCGCCTCTGTCTTTCTTTTTCTCATGTAATAACTATAGGTCACTTTAGACAAGAGACAAAACGATATCTTAAATGTCTTTGTCAATTCACTCGATGATTTACTCCACCCTTATAACACTTTGAAATGAAAAATTGCTTTTGACCTTATCAAGTAGTATGCAATCAGTACCTACCTCCTCCCCCCCACG